TTCACCCCGTTGCAGAGCACTCCTGTTCAATGCATTCACTGGGAGGGGTCCCCAGTTTTCTGGCTCTCAGGGGATACCCAAGCCAATGCATGTCATGTCTCGCAAGCGAGGGGCTTTGCTGGCATAAGGAGGTCTCCGCACCAGCAACCGCGGGGGTTCGGAGTCACCCTTGCGTGGGGGTGACTCTCGACCAGGTGCAAGCTCAGCTCCTTCCCTAGCAATGCCCCGTGAGGGGCGAGGGTCGTCCCTTACCCGGGGCGCTCGCTGAGTGGGATGAGGGAACGCAGGCGCACTGGAGAACCCACGGGCGGCAAGAGAAGCGCGTGCGGTCGGTGTCTCCATGGCAACCACGGCCGGGGACCTGAGCTCGCGGCCAGGGCAGCGCTAGGGAACCCCCATGGCAACGGCCGCAGGTAGCCGCCACGGGGAGGGGGCTGCCGCCTGGGCCCCCGGACTCTGACCCCCCAGCCCCGGGGAGCCCCAGGCATTCAGAGCGCAGGGGCCCGCCGGCCATGGAGACCCCAGCCTGGAGCGGGGCAGGAGGCACGGTGACGCCGCCGCGTTTTGTGGGAGACCCCGGCGTGTAGGGTGCACACGCGGGCAGGGCCGCCCAGAGGATTGGGGGGGCCTGGGGCAAAGCAATTTCAGGGGCCCCTTCCATAAAAAAAAGTTGCAATACCATAGAATGCTATATTCTCCTGGGGGCCCCTCTGGGGCTTGGGGCAAATTGCCCCACTTGCCCCCCGGTGACCCTGCAAGGGGGGATATTCTCCATGGTGTCTCTGGGCGTGATCAGATCTGCCGCCCCCCATTCCGTGCTGGGGGAGAGACTGGCCATGTGGGGCAAGGCTTGGAAGGAACTTAGCCCAGAGCCCCATTCTGCCAGCAGCACTTACTAGTGGGTATAATGGAGGTGCCTCGATGCACGCTCGGCTGGATCGGGCCCCTAACGGGTGAGGCGTGCTTTGCTGTGCCTGATTTTAAAAAGCTTATTAGAAACTAAAACCTGTGAGGAATATAGTTAATGTTTGAAATATCCACTTGTAATTGCCTAGTAAGAGTTGCTTGTTTGCCAAATAGGGGTGTGTGTGTGTGTGTGTATATATATATATAAAAGGGGATTTTTTTTTTAATATTAGGCTGTTTTTCCCCCGTAGTGTGACCTCAGAGTTATCAGTGAGAGCACCTAGAATACAGTGTGATTTTTGGGAAATGACAGCTCACACCTCTGAAGGTAACTTTATTGCTAGAAAAGTTATACCATAAGTTAATATTTAATTTGTGTTGAAATTCTCCACTGCTGCATATTGACACACATTATTTATTATTTAAGGAAATATCAATATAAGATACAGGCCTTTGAGACTATAGTTCTAATTTAAAAGTAGATTAAAGATGATCAAGTATATTGCAACAGTGAAATCTCTCTCGGTTTTGCTTAGTAAAAAATTCAGTACTCACAGACGTGGGCTTGTTATTTTGCCATGGAGGAACATAGGGGTATGTCTACACGGCAGCTGGGAGCAGGCAGACAGACTTGTGCTAGTCAGGCTTGAGCTATTGCACTAAAAATATCAGTGTGGAACTTGTGGCTTGGGCTCTCAAGCACTCCCGACCCCCTGGATCTGAGCTAGGGTGGCTAGCCTGCGTCTCCACCAGGGCCATCCACGCTGCTATTTTTACATGCTAGTTCAAACCCAACTAGCATGAGTTTGTCTACCTGGGCTGGGAGGGTAGCTTCCAGCTGCAGTGTAGACATACCCTATACGTAGAATCCTATAGTAAACATTATGGGAATATTCTCTCAAGCATCCAAGATTTGTTCAGTGCAGTAGAGCAGAGGAGTGGTTCCTGATTCTATGGGCTTGTCTGCATTTGCCCCTGTGTGAGTTAGGGCCTTGTCTTCAAGGTCTGATACACAGCTTTTAACAGGCCAAACTGTTAACTTATGTAAAAACTCCAAACTGCCTTGTCTTCACTAGGGTTTTAGTTCGAGGTAGGAACACATCTTTTTTCCCCCCAGTGAAGACAAGGACCTGTGTGGAGTGCTAGGGAAGTGTATGAATACATATGTACATATACAAGGACAAAATATAACCCTAAACTGGATGAGGGATGCTTAGTGGTTGTTTTGTCTTTCATCTGTATTACTCTGTCATTTGTCTGATTTTGAATATTGATTAAAAGTGCAAAGTCTAGAGTCTTTCTACCAAGGTGGTAGTTTTTTGTTTTTTTTCCCCAAGTTAGAAAGATTGATTCCATCTCCAATCAGAACTGCTGACTGTTGAACCTCAGCCCAAAGGGGCAGAATTGCTCTGTTGTTTATTTGTCAAAAGAGTTGCCGTTATTTTTAATTGTTATTTTAAAAGTTCACATCTCAAACTCACTACAGGTAGGATTGAAATAATGTATATCAGCAGGGGGAATTGTTTTGAGGAATTTTGATTTCACTCTCTGAGTATCTGCCTCTCAGGCCTGGTCTATACTACAAAGTTAGGTTGACATAAGTCGCCTTGCGTCAACCTAGTTTTGCATGAGTCTACACTCAAATTTGTCTCCTGCTGATACAGCGATGCAGTAACACCATCTCCCCAAATGGCACTGAGCCATGGTGAATGTACTGTGGTGATGGAGTGCAGTGTAGACACCGTCTGTTCTATATTGACCCTAACAGTCCTCTAGCAGCTGTCCCACAATGCCTGAAACTCACTGCTTTGGTCAGTAGTGTGAACTCTGCTGCCCATGGGTCACAGAGATCCGAAGCTACCCACCCACCCTCACTAAAAACCACATGTTTTTGAAATGCCTTTTCCTGATTGCCCAGCTTGTGGACACACCATGCACATTGTTGTGTGCAACTGCCAAACCGACCATGCCGGCTACATGCTCCAGACACACTCCTGCGTGGAATAGACAAAGAGGTATCAGATCTCCTTGGCCTGTGGGGAAAAAAGACTGTGCAGGCATGGAACAGCCATAAAAATGTGACAGATTACATGGGGGATGCAGGTGAAGGGGTACGATAGGAATCAGCAGCGATGACGTGTGAAAGCTAAGGAACTGCAGGAGGCACACCAGAAGGCCAGGGGGCCCAACAGTTGATCTAGTGCTGAGCTGCGGACCTGCTGCTGTTACAATGAGCTGCATGCCATACTTGCCGAGGAGCCTGAGAGACAGATCCCTGCTGTGAACAGTGAGGAGGAGGATGGGGGGCATGCACTCAGGGGTGTCCAACTATGCTGCGAGCCAGGACCTGTTTGAGGCTTCACCACCGTCTAGTCAGCCCCATCAGCAGAGCTCGGGCGAGTAGGGAAAGGAACCTTGGGTAGATGTGTGAATGCAGTTCCCATTACAGTGATTAAATGTACAGATGGTGCCTGACCCAATGCATCAGGAAGCAGGTATTGACTTTACATTAATTTACTCATAGAAGAGGTAGCGGTACATCAAACAGAGGTAGAGTTATCTGGTTTTCATTTCTTTGTAGAGTCAGGCAAGGGAGGCCATGCAGAACAGTTTGTTTATGTACACAGGGATGTCCCTTGAACCCTCCTGAGAGATCTCAATGAAACTTTTATACTCCGCAATCCTCTCCCAAAGCTTTCTAGGGATGGCAGTCTTATTTCTTCCTCTGCGATAGGACACTTTCCCATGCCAGTCCGCAATGACTTCGGCAGGCACCATAGCAGTACATAGGCTAGCAGCATATGGGGCCAAGTGGCTTTGGGATGTCTGCAGCAGCTGAGCTCTCTGTTCCTTTGTTACCCTCAGAAGCAAGAGACCAGCTAAAATCACCACTGCCTGTGGAAAATAGTGCCAGTACTCAGTACCGTTGCCCTACATTCGTACCCATGGAGATGGGGGCCAACATTTTATTGTTTCATCCTACAGAACAATTCTCTCCTCATTTACCCCGTGCCCCTGCTGGGCCATACTCACCATGGCTGGAACTGGAGAGCCGTGCTGTGCACAGGCATTCTGGAGCTGAAGTGTCAATAAGCATGTCTTGTTTAAAACTTTAGGAGAGCAAAGGAAGGGAGTTCTGAAACTTAACTTTCACTTTATAAATACAACGATACCACTCTGAATTTTTTCTGTGTCTTCTGTGGTTGTGGCCTGGAGGGGTCCCCCTCCACACCTGTTGAAAGCCTGACCTGGATAAGGAGGAAAAAGAAGACGACTCAGGAGAATATGTTCTCAAGACAGTGCCGCTTCGGACTGTGAGCAGAGGGGCTGACGGGTGAATATTTCCGACAGCATGGAGAAAGGCCCAGGAGTCCCAGCAGTCAATGGAGAACTCCATGTTAGCACCTCCCTAGGCCCCCAACTTTCCATGTGGCATCTATGGCTCCCACTCCATGCTAGAAAACAGTAAGAACAGCTTAACATAAACTGACCCGGTTGCTGTTTGCTGGTTTGTGTAGGCAAAATTGACTGAAATGGACATGAACATTCTTTCCCCTTGTAAGTTCTGTTAATTTATTTCAGAATTTTTTATTGTGTTTGTTTTTTAATTGCACATAGGTTTTTTTTGCACTAGTTTCAGGATGCAATCATATTCTATTTTGGGGCATTTTTATTACTTCACAACATATGCTACAGAATGTCTAGAACTACTGAAAGCACCCACTACTTGTTATTGTACAGGACGACAGAACTCATAGGATCAGTGACAAACATAGTGTAATAATTATAAACTTACAGCTAGCACTGCATATTAATAGGTGCATTAACAGACAGTTACATTCATAAATGTACATCAACCACCACACAGTACCCTGCAGCCCCCAAAACTTCAGGACCAGGTAGAGAGCACAGTCCACGACACCACATTACAGTACTGTGGCTAACTGTTAAAGGGCTCTTTCAAGGCCTCCTTCAGTTGCATAGCTCCATGTTGAGCTCTTCTAATAGCTGTTATGTCTGGCTGTTCAGATTCAGCAGACAGCCACTCCACCTCCACCCTTGTGGCAACTTTTCCCCCTTTGCCTCACAGATATTCTGCAGGATATGACTGGCAGCTACAACCATTTGCAGTGTTTTTCTTACTGAGATCCAATCATGACAGTAAACACGGCCAGATTCCCCTCAATCTAACACAAGCACATTCAACTGTCATTCTGCACCTGCTGAGCTGGTAGTTGAACCTTTCGTTGGTGCTGTTGAGATGGCTGGCTTCATAAGCAAGCAGTAGGCTGGGTCCCCCGGGATCACTATTGCCATTTCAGCATCGGCAGTGCTAATCTGCTGGTCAGGAAAGAATGTCCTTGGTTGCAGCTTTCTGAACAGTCCTCTGTTCTTAAAGAAGTAAGCGTCGTGCATCTTCCCTGACCAGCCAGTACTGATATGGGGAAGTATCTCCGGTGAGCCCCCAATGCTTGTATTACCATAGAAAAGCCTTTTCGTTGATGTAGTCTGTGGCAAGATGGGCTGGTGCAAAAATAGGGATATACCTGCCATCTATCACCCCACAACAGTTCATGAACTGCACTGATGCAAATCCATCCACTATGTCTTGCACATTACCAAGAGTCCAGTCCTGCGTAGCATGACACTTGCATGACAGCTGCCCCCACGGTGGATTTTCCAACTCCAAAATAATTTCCCACTGACTGGTAGCAATCAATTTGGTGTTACAAATTTCCACAGTGCGATCGCCACTCACTTCTCAACTGTCCATGCAGCTCTAATTCTGGTGTCTCTGTGCTGGAGGGCTGGGGATTCAGCATACAGATCCAGGAGTGTGGCCTTTCACATCAGAAAATTCTGCGGCCAAGCCTTGTCTTCCCAAATCTGCATTATGATATGATCCCACCAGCCAGTGTTTGTTTCTCGGGCTCAGAAGCAGCATTCCACCGTCTGCAGCTGCTCCGTGAACTCCACCAACAACATTGAATTGGTTCTCGCTATGTCCCACAATAATCTGTCCTCCAATAAATGTTTATATCCTCTGCTGCTGCAGTTCTTCTTGAAGCTCTGCAAATATCAGAGGATCATACATCCTTGTGTTCACAATGCTTGTGACAAAAGTGTAGAGCTTTGTGGGCTCCATACTTCAGAGATGGCAGACAGTGAGAAATACTGTGCAGTTGTGTAGGATTTTTTTTAAAAGGCACCAAAATGAAGGGGTATGGATGACATTATGGGATAGAGAAAGATGCATGATGAGAACTTGACCCCTTTCTCCCAGGGTATTCCTGCCCCACCAGGCATTGCTAGTATTTCCCAAAAGACAGTGTGCTGGATGATGGTGAGTCGCACACTGGAATACCTATGCACGGTGCATTGCTGTGCATCAACACAAGCACTCCTGGTGAATATGCAGAGCACTGACGCAAGGAGCCAAAATACTAACCGTGGCAGCTTTATGCTTGCGTTGACCAAAGTTTGTAGTGTAGACATGGCCAAAAAGTCTAGATGGTTCATAGTCCCAGATCCTAATACTTGTCCTAGATGCTCAAAAAGGAGTAGCCTGAAATGCATTTTTTCCATCTAGAAATGGCTAAGTGGTTGAACTATTCCCCTCTGTTATGGCCTCATTACAGAGATTCATGCATGTGAATTCTCCAGACTGCATTATTGCAACACACACTCTTACCTGGTGTTAACACTAAAGATCACTCTGGGCTTGTCTGTATGGAGAGTTAGTGCGTGGGAAATAGTGTAAATCTACAGTGCTCTAGCCTGCCATGTACTAACTAGTCATATGGAAACTCCTACAGGACACTAAAAGTCTATAGCGTGCTTTGACTTACTGCTGTCTTTCAATTTTGTAGGGGCCCCAGATTCTATATGATGGGCACGTTAGAAATGCATAAAACTGTCTACTAAATTGTTTTTATTTTTAAGCTGTCATGTCAACTCGTCTAAGTCTCCATAAACAGTATTTGCAAGCCTGCCAAGAGTCGAGCCAGCCAGAAAACCCTTTCATAGCCCACATGCTTGAAGAAGCTGAGAAAGCAGATATAACGTAAGGAAATAATAAATAGCATATTTTAAATACTTCTGAAAGCTTTGGACAGCGTAACAGGACCAGGAATGGAATGATGAAAAAGGACAGTTCTCTGGTTTAAACACAAATCCCCTTTTTTGGGTTTAGATTTTATTGCAGGAGTTCTGGTTTAATTCAAGTTGACAACAGCTTGGCAAAAGTCTGTAGCTGCATATTCCTTCCAGGCAGAAAACTCAAAAAGTACAAAACATATAGGGCAGTAGTTTCCAAACCACGCAAGCTCTCGTCAACAGGTATGTGAGAAAAATCCTGTAATGGTGGACAATGCATTTTATTTAGTACAGAGGTTCTCAAACTGGAGCATGCCCTGGAGGAATGTTCGTGTGGGGGGAGAGGGAGGTGTGAGCGGCGACGCCAGGCAGCTCAGGCCAGCCCCAACTGGCAGGGCTTGGGGAGGGAGTGTCACCTCCACTGCCTGTCTCACCTTGGGCCAGCCCCAGGCAGCGGGGCTTGGGCGGTGGGGAGCGCCACCTCCACCCTGACTCATCTCAGCATGCCACCCAAATTTGAGCTGAGCCCCCACCCCCTTTGAGTTACAATTTTTGGATGTGCCCCCCCAACCCAGACAGGCCTGGCGTCGCCGCTCACCCCTCAGAACGTTTCTTTGCACCCCACAGTTTGAAAACCTTTAGAAGCTGCCACAAGTACTCCTGTTCTTTATTCAAGGTAAAGTGACCCGTTAACACCTCTGCAGTCATAGGATAAAAAGAAGGGGTTAGTGGGTTACAGATTGTTGTAATAAGCCATAAATCCACTGTCTCTGGTCAGCCCATGATTTTTGGTATCTAGCAGAGTAATGAATTTAAGCTCCCAGGCTCATCTTTTGAAAGTAGGTTTCATTTGAGGATGAGGACCGATATGTCAGATATAGATCACTTTGTGAAAAGTGTTCACCCACAGGTGATAGGGTGTTTTTGTCCTTTATCATTTTTCTAAGTGAGTTCATTTGAGAGCATAGTGACTGCCTGGTTTCACGTAATTGTTATTTGGGCATTTAGTGCACTGGATGACATATACCACATGTTGTGATAGGCATGTATAGGACCCATGGATCTTGAAAGGTATGTTGATCATTGTGGCAGTGGAGATACGTCTGCAGGTTTTGCATCTGTTGTTCTGGCAGGGTCTGATGCTGCTTTGAGTTGGTGTATCCGGGTCTGTGGAGATCTTGCTTCTGACGACGAGCTTGGAGAGGTTGGGGGGTAATTTGAAGGCCAGAAGTGGAGGTTCAGGAAAGATTTCTTTCAGGTTGGGGGGGTCCTGATTGAGTCTGGGTTGTGGTTGTTTGATGGCACTGTGTATAGGTTCCAGTGTAGGGTGCTGGCTATAGATGACAGATTTCTTTGTGTGTTTGGGGTGGTCTGAGGAAAGATGATGTAGAGAAAATGGAAAGAGAGCTGCTTTCTTCTGTGCTCAATTATTGAGGATGGGGTAGAGTAAAACAAAGGAAAAAGGAGAGAATGAACATTCCAGAATAATCTCCTGAATCATTTTGTTGCTAAAATTCTAAGTGGGTTCTTGTGGCAGTACAGTGTATCAGGCTGTCAAAATGAACAATTATGAATTACAGCTAGTATAGCATTGTTCTCCATGGATTTTTTTGATCCAGATTTCACAATCCTGATAAATATACTAGTGGGGAGGAAGCACTATTGCATCTCCATCCCATGATACATATAGAACTAATACTTTGTATAGTGTTTCTTTCTCCTGCCATCCTTATGTTTTAAAGTATTTCTACATTACAACAGATTGACAAAAGGGATCACATTAAAAATAGCTGGAAATAACCGCTTGGTGCCAGTACAGAAAGTTACAGATGAGGATTTTCGAATGCTTGCCTGCATCTTAAGCAATAACACATTTGTTACAGGTATGTCGTCTCATTACTTCATATCTCTTTATAAATTGGAAACAAGAAACAGTTCTTTCTTCTTACCTTTCATGTGGAGATCAATTAGTTATTAATAAGTGTTGTTAGTCTTATTTATTTCTGTATTCTTTGCCTTTCAGGGCTGGACCTTAGATATAATGTATTAACTGATGTTGGAGCAGAGCATGCTGCAAAATTCCTTCAGGTAGTTTTCTCTGGGCCAAAATATTTGATTTTTTCCTCAAGTTTGTGGTTTCATTGGCCATGATAACATTTATGTGCAATATATTGGTGACAGTATGTGTTGTTTTGGAAAAATTCCAGAAATCTTGGCTTTGCATATCCAGATCCATCAATTTATAATATCAGATTGCATTCATCATAAACTTTTTGCAGTTGTTTCAATATTACAGTACAGTCTGCAAAAGAGGCATTTGTGTAGCATTTTGGTAGTATATTGTGCGTGACAAAATTAACGGAAATGTACAAAAACATAATGTATATCCTTAGTATGTATGGAAACTTAAAAACATAGGCTTCTAGTGCCCGCCAGAAGCAAGCTATATACAGGAATCCCTGTAGTCTGCAATTCCACATCTATGGAGTTAGCTCATTGCTTCAGAATCATGCTCTGAACCTAAACTTTCACTTTAAAATGAAAATTTATGCTTCTAGCTCTAATAGTTGTGTAGAAAATCTTGAAAATGTGATCAGCGTAAACCGGTGCAGTATTGCTTTCCTGAGCCTGCTGACAGCCTGAAACAGTACCTCTGAGGCATTTACTATTGCAGTCTTTTCCCTAAGGATGACAATTTAAATATCAACAGTATTAACTTTTTTATTGATGATCATTTTAGTAGCATTTTAGCACTGGTATCCCCCAGTCCCAAGCTGCCTCCCACACCTCCCCAATTATCTAAACAAATACTTCCCCACTTGCCTAAACCTCCGATTTGCCCCTTGTCATCTTCTGTGATGAGGTTATTTGTTGTAGGTACAAAAACCTTTGGCATATTGAAAACTGAATATGCAAATGTAGCAGTTTGAAGCTGGGCCATTGGTTAATAAGGATGTTTGTTAGTTTTTGGTTAATCGCTGCTGTGTTCATTTTTGTGTTGTTTTTAAATGTTGGTGCTCAATATATTAATTATGGAGAAAACAGTTTCTAAACAAAATGTCTTTCAAACCCGTGTGAGGCATCAGCTCTTTAAAATGAGAAAATGCTCTGTAAAATATATTTCTGAGTTTGGCGTTGGTTTCCTGTTTGTGTACTGTAGGAAAACTCAACCCTGCACTACCTCAATCTGATGTTTAATGATATTTGCACCAATGGAGCAGAATTGATAGCTAAAGCATTGCATGTAAGTATTAATCGATATACTATAGTAATTTTGACAATAGCATCTGATTTGATATTGTATCTTCTGATGGACATCAGCATCAAAGTGAATCTGAAAAACCCCTTTTCTTTCCTTATATCCAGTATTTGTTGTAACAAAGAGATTGCTTTGTCTTCTCAAGACAGACTGTATCTCTGCTACTTTTAGATCATCTTTCAGAAGAAGAGAAAACTGCCCTCTGCAGCCATTGATATTTATTGATTTCAACTATAAAATAGCTGGATATCTCTTTGTGAAAATCATGAAACTGAAAAATAAAACAAAATGTCATGTATTTCATCAAAATTTGATGGGACAAAATTTCACACAATTCCATACATGGCCAAGTATTTTTTTTTTAATTTTCCATTATGTTCTGAAACTTGCTATCAGATGCCTTTTATATGCCTATTTTTGTCTTTGTTTTTAAATTTTCCTTTTTTATGGTGACATTATTTGCCTTGACATCAGTTTGTCTTGGACATCACTGTATAATCTCACATATCAGCATTATAAAATGTGTTTTTTATAATTTCATATTTAAATTGCTCATAATAGATTTTTCAGCACAATTTCTGTTACAGTGGCACTGAGGAATTAAAAAATGAAAATTATTGTGTATACACTACAGCTAGGGCCTCATCCTGCAAATGCTTAGGGCCTGATCCAATGCCCACTGAAGTCAATGGGAATATTTTCCTTGACTTCAGTGGACTTTGGATCAAGTCCTTAGTTTGCCAAAAAAGAGGCCAATCATGCAAAGATCTGTGCACAAGCTTAACTGTCTGCACTTTGATTACTCATGTGATAAAGGCAGATGAAAGACCTGCAAACTTATAGTTTTCTAAATTAAAAAATTCAACTATTAGCTAAATATGTGAAATTACAGACATTATAATAAAATATAATGATGAATGGATTTAACTCTATTTTTAAGCAGTTTAGACACAAATATCAGTCTGGAATTCTTTAATAAACATATGAAAATTGGTAGATTATAGTGGAAGCACAGATACCCATAAATAATTCAGAGCCCTCCCACCCTTTCAAATCCTTATGCTCTTGGTAGACTTTACTCAGGCAGCTAGTCCCAGTGAAAAGATAGGCAGCTACTTAGTTACTGTTAGCAATTGGCTGTATTCCTTACAGAAGATGACATTTTGTCTTTATGCCACAATTAAAAAATCTGTAGTAAAATGTATAATATCACAGCTTAGATCATTTCAGGGAAATCCTTTTAAATTTTCTTGCCTAGAGGAATGAAACGCTCCTACACCTGAGAATGACTGGCAACAAAATTGAAAACAAAGGTGGGATGTACTTTGCTTCAATGCTGCAAATTAATTCGACCTTAGAGAAGTTAGATCTTGGAGACTGTGATCTGGTGAGTAAAGTAAAATTATCAACTTAAACTGCAAACTAATAGCCTTTCAAGTGTATTATAAATAGGGAGACCAGATAGCAACTGTGAAAAAACGGGACAGGTGGTGGGGGGTAATAGGCGCCTGTATAAGAAAAAGTCCCCAAAAACAAGACTGTCCCTTTAAAAACGGGACATCAGGTCACCCTAATTATAAAGGTCCTGTGGTTAAATTAGTGGAAGATGCCATCTGTTGCCACTTGTTTTATATACTGTGATATCTTCAACTATCACAAAATATCCTGTTGCAACTAGCAAGATGCACTTGGAAGGGCCTGTAGCATAGTGTGTTTATAGGAGTATGTGATGTAGTACATCATAACCTCTAACTGTCAGTTCCTTTACTCCCAAAGAGCCATTAGAGGAGTTTGACTGTTGTTCTGTTATGACGTTCCCCACTTGTGTTATCTGGACCGGTGATCTGCTAGATCTCTCCAATCCTAGACTCTGGGAGCCAGCCTTACCCTGCTCTGCTGTGAGATCCCCCACTCCTGGGCTGTTCACGCACAGCCTCTGGCACATAAGCTGCCCCTTGGATTGTGCAACTGAATGACACTAGCCAATATCTCTGGTCCCAAACACAACCCTAGGAACCTCTGTCTTTCAGTGTCCAGTTATGCCCGCTGGATGCTGCAAGCTTGTTTGAGTTTGTCAATTTAACAAAGAAATTGATATGTACCAGGTTTGTTATCCCAAGGAGAGTCTCTGACATGCTTCAAACCAAACGCACTGCTTCAGGTAGAATAAACAAACAGATTTATTAACTACAAAGATACATTTTAAGTGATTATAAATCAAAGCATAACAAGTCAGATTTGGTCAAATGTAATAAAAGCAAAACACATTCTAAGCTGATCTTAACACTTTCAATGCCCTTACAAACTTAGATGCTTCTCACCACAGGCTGTCTGGTTGTTCTTCAGCCAGGCTCTCCCCTTTGATCGGCGCTTCAGTCGCTTGGTGTGGTGTCTGTAGATGTAGGTGGAAGAGAGAGAGAGAGCATGGCAAAGTCTCTCCCTTTTATCATGTCCTTTCTTCCCTCTTGGCTTTGCCCCCCCGCTCTCCCTTCAGAGTCAGGTGAGCATTACCTCATCAGAGTCCCAAACTGGCCAAAGGAAGGGGGGTGACTCACTCCAGAGTCCAACAGATCCTTTTGCTGCTGCCTAGGCCAGTGTCCTTTGTTTCTGTGAGGCTGGGCTGGGTTTGTCCCATACCTGCCCTGATGAAGTGTGAACTGCCTCCCTGTTCTTGGAGAGTTTTTGCCTGGGGTTATTTTAAGCCATGAGGATACATTTTTCAGCCTCATAACTACATACATGAAATTATAACCTATAACATTACTGTAACATAACTGTAACAACAATGCTCAGTGCATCATGAGCCTTCTGAAGACACGCAGCATGACAAACTTTGCATTGGATACCACACAATCATTTTACAAGGGTGAACCTGGGGGTGCTGGGTGTTTCCCCGAGGTACAGAGTGTCAGAACTGTACTCTCTAATATTTTGAGAGATTCAGTTTGTGTTATATATGTCATATCATCCAGAGCTCATGTAATTCATGTAAGAAAGAGATTCCTTATTTCCTAAGGGCTCTTTTCATTCTAAAGCAGCTTCTGCGGGGGTATCAAGCGTTGAAAGGTGCACTCCCTTTCAAGAAGTGCTCTTCTCTCATTATCAGCCACATTGTGTCAAAAGCACTATTGTGTGGATGCGCATGGATGCCACCAGCTTCCCCTAGATGGAGTCACAGACTACCCAGTCTAGTTGTCAGGCCATCCGTATACGGCAGTGGGTTCTTCCCTGGAGAACAGGGCTGCTAATATAAGTAATGAAAGTTTCTAGTGGAGGGTACTGTCTGAGTGAAGAAACCTATGGAGAATGAGGTTTCATTTTAAGTTTACTAATATTTCTGGTGCTCCCAAACTGGAAGGTGAAAATGCCTTTAAAAATTAAAGATATTACAAGCATGTATACTGGGAAGATATAGTCACCACAGATAAACACAGCTCTTAGAAGCTTTGAATAATTGTACTTCTATGCTTGAGTAAAATCAGTTTAAGGGAGCATTTCCTGCTTTGCTATGTGATTATAAAAACAGTAGCATAACCGGCTTGTCAAAAGACAGTGTTCCTTTGACAGTTCAGCGTGTTACAGATGTATGACTGAGGGGAAAGGAATAAAAAATCAGAACTGGAATCTATAGTAGAACCTCACTAGTTTGACTTCACTGATTCATACACTTCATAATTTTCATGGGATGCATATCCACTTAATATGAATTAATTAATAGAAGTATGTTAGCTTTAGTGAGTTCTCATCTACCCTGCTCCTCACCCTTGGCTTGGGGAGCCGTGCACACCACGATCCCCACCTTACCACAGGGAACTCTACCCTCCAAAACCCTAACCAGAGAGGCCAACCCACCTGAATTCCAGCCTTATCTTAGTGACCTCCTACCCATCCTATCCTTGTCCTAAGGGTTATACCTTCCACAACACCTACCCTAACCCAAGCCGGGGAGCCCCACTCTCTACAGCCCTAACCTTAGCCCGGAGAGGCCTGTTCACTTGAACACTAACCCTGGACCAAGAAGCCCAGTCCTAACGCTAGCCTAGGGAGCCCTGCCCAGCCCTATCCACAGCCTGTCCTCTGGAGCCCTACCCGCCAGAACCCTACCCCTAGCCTCAGGAGTCCTACGCTCTTAACCACTAAATTTAGCTGGGAACCCTACACTCCACAACGCTAACCCTAGCGCAGCTAGAGCCACTGACCTGAAAGCTAACCTTTGCTCCACATCCCTAATACTAGCCCATTTTAGACATACGCACCTGAACACTAACTCTTGCTCTGGGAAGCCTACCCTCCACAGTCATAGTCCTAGCTGAAGAAGGCTTACCCACCTGAACCCTAACCTGGAGAACCATACCCACCTGAACCCAAACCCTACTCACCTGAACCCTAACCCTCACCTGGAGAGCCCTGCCCTCCACAACCCTAACCTTAGCCCAGAGAGCACTCCCCTCCATAACCCTCACCCTAGCTCAGTGAGGCCCACCTACCTGAACCCTAACCTTAGCCCTGATAGCCCTGCATTCCACAACCCTATCCTGAACCCGGGGAGCTCTGCCCCCTATACCCATGGTATTACTAACAGTTTTACCCCATACATTACGAAAAATTCTTCTCCTCATTTATCAGATTCTGTTTATTTTCAGCAGGTCTCATAGTAATTCATGCCAATTATTTCAGTTCCATTCTTTTAACATTCTTTGCCTGCTGGTATTTTCAGGAAATGTTTGTATGTATTGCAGTACTGCAGAGGCAGATGACCACTGAATATCTCCAACACACATGGAGCTAAAAATAATAGTATTTCTAACTCATGTCAATTTGATATTTATGATCTTCTAAAAATACATCCTGTAAGGAGGCATGGTATCTTTGGTATGTTGCTTTATTTATAGATTGAACAGGTTTCTCTAAAAAGTTTATCTGTTTTTGTTTTCAGGGTACACAAAGTCTAATAGCAATAGCAACAGTTATGAGCCATAACAAAGCAATGAAAGCACTAAACCTAAACCGTCCTATACTGTACAGCCAAGAGGTATGTGTATATACTGTAGGGTCAGTTCAATTAAACAGATATACGCATACAGAGAAGCAATATTGATACCTTTATGGAGGCCTATAGTGGTCTGGACTGTATGTCTCTCTGGGGCTTCTTTATATGCTTGTGTGAGAGCTGCCAGGGTTGTTTTTTAAGTCTTTCTGCCCAAGGAAGAGAGAACACCAAGAAAAAAGATTGTAGACAGACTCAGGGGCCAAGATTGTCATACCTCCTTGCCTAGGGTTATGCTCCTGAATCATAATTTAGGCACATGAAGAAACAGCCTTCTTTTCAAAGTGCTCAGTTCTTAACCTCAATAGAAGCAGTTGGATGATCAGCCCTTATTTAGGGGTTGTCTAAATGGAAATTGCAGAGTAAGAGTGGCTTTTTTTGTTTAGCTTAAACTCTTTCCTAAGTGACATAAACAGAACCAAAGAAACGTCACTCTTAAAATGAGGTAAGTGTCCATTTGGCGGTTCTGACAGTATAACTACATCAGTTTAAATTCACACCTTGGCTTTTACTGAAAAAACTTCCCTGTGTAGACAAGACCGTAGGTGCCTAACCATGGATTTAGGAGCCTAATTTTAGGCTCCTGCTTTTGAAAAAATCTGGACCAGAATAAACACCACGCTATACTAAGGGCCCAATCCAACACCCAGTGAAGATTATGGGAGTCTTCCAATTTGTTACTCCTCTCTGGTCTGTAGGCTTCTCCATTGTGTCTACCTGACTGAAGCCCCATATAAATTATTGTCTTAACCAAAGGTGATAACTTTGAAACCAATTCGCTGCCTCTTATAGAGGCAGGATATATGTTTTTTCTATAGTTAATCCCTCTTTCAAAGGGATTAACTATAATGCTCTTCATAAAATAATTGTTGATACCTATTTCTGTTACACCATTGACGTCAATAGGAATTGGATCAAGTCCTAAAACATTGTGTCATGGAATCTTGGAAAAGAAATGATCAAGGTAGATGAGAGAACTAGTAGTTGTTAGAGTATTGACTTGCCTGAGATTTACACTACAGGGGTATACAGTTCTGTAAATCTGCAGCCACATTTTGGTAACTTTCACTATTTTCCCAGTGATCACGATAAGAAATTGTTTCCTGATTTTTTGTATATCAAGTTGTAATACATCAGAAGGAAAATGAGTTAAGGCCAAATTCTGCTCTTTGACATCTACCTTTGACTGCAGGGAAGGTTGTACTTGTTCTTGGGGCCAAACACCAAAGAGTGGTGTTTGACCCTAAAAACTGATCTGATGTTAAAATTATAGTTTAACTGAGATTTTATTTTTAGGAAGAGACCACAGTTCACACAGCTCTAATGATGAAAAATAACTCTTGTCTTATGGAACTGCATTTGTGCAAACATGAAATGAAGAACTTCGGTGTGGAGCGACTGTGTGATGCATTGTATGAAAACCGCAGCCTGCGATATCTTGACCTCAGTTGGTAAAAGATTCACCCTCTGTTTTTGTTTAAATTACACAAACATAGAGTATATTGTTGCTGGTGAAAACTGTGCACAATGCAATATCAGTGTAGCAGCAGGAGGGGTATTATATGGTATTGCTACTTTTCCCTCCAGAAAAAATGTGATTTTTCTAGGTGAGATGGAGAGTTGAGGTGGAAGCCATAGTTGGAGGGAGTGCAACATTATTAAGGGATAAACTAGTATTTAGCCATAGCCTTAGCTGTGAGGGAGACATGCCACCACAGAAGGAGCACCAGAAAACATTCTGCCTCAGGGAGGTGGAATGCCCCCTATGTATGTCGAGGAGCAATTAACAACACCCCTTTAAGGGGTGCAGCATCCGCCACCCTCCCCAGCCTGACTGGTCAACTCTGCTATGACTCTGGCCACAGAAGGAGGGGAAGAAAGGTCTCCCTCTCTCCTCTCCCCTGCTGCTTAAGGGCTATGCCATAGTCTAATCCTAAATTTACAAGCTTCAACCTAAGTGGTCAGCTATATCTGATTAAATCATTTTCCTGCCTTGCAGGGGCCTCAGGCCTGAGTGCATTTCAGTTCCTCCTTCTTTTCTACCCATTGTCACGCAATAGTTTAGTCTCCTGAGAGCTTTAATACTTTCGTCTAATTCTTGTTGTTGGGCTTGGTGTGGAGGTAGGGTAGCTGGGTAGTGTTGGTGGCCTGTGATATAGAGGATGTTAGACTATAGATAATCTGATGGTCCCTTGTGGCCTTAAATTCTGTAGTACTGTACACTTGAGTGAAGAAAGAGCACTTACTCTACAGTACATACTAATCAGACAGTGTGTGAAATTATGCCACTCTACAGAAGATGTAAAAAATCAAAATTGGAAAAATACAATATAAGACATTTAGGACCTGATCCGGTTATCCAGCAACTATTGGAAGTGCCTGCACATGGATTGCTAGAATGGGTTCTAAAAATCCCATTAATCTATTAGCTTGTGTTAATAGTTGCCAGTTGGAGTAAAAATCCAGTTCGAGTATATGTATTGTACATCGCTTCAACAGCTGTACATTTCAGAACAGTTTATTCAGCAACCTATGAGGCATTTTTTGCCTAGGAAGTAATACTGCAGGTTTCACAATAGTATCCCCCTTTAAAAAAAAAACATTTCTCTTTCAGTAATAAAATAACTCGTGATGGTGTGAAATTTTTGGGAGAACTGCTGAAACGGAACCAAACTCTGGAAATCCTAGATCTTAATTCAAACAGGATAGAAGATGATGGAGCCATCTATCTGAGTGAAGCCCTGGCTTTGTACAACAGGACTCTTCAAGCGTTAGTATAGATAAAACTCCCCAAAAGAGATTGCAGGTGTAACTAGTGGAAAATCGGAAAACGTGACACAGCAGTATATGAGTTGGTACATCATTTTTTTACGCTAGTGATCCAAACTGCAAAGTCAAACAGTTTCCAAAATCACACATGGATGGGGACAGCTGGGGTCACTGATGATGACAGTCCCATGGCTTCACCTGGACTCTGGCAGAACCAGTGAAATACCAGTCCAAGGAATGCTTCCCACTCAGCAAAGCAAACCTGAGTGTCTGGACTGGCTGGGTTGAACTGCTGGGTCAATCTGTGGGAGGGAAGTCACATGGACTCTCCGCTCTTGGGAGGAGGGATGCTAGAAACAAGAAAGGCTAGGGGCAGAGGGAAGAGAGGCAAGAGAGGGAGAAAACATGAAGATGCTCCCTTCCCACCAGTGACAAAGCCCTAGCTGTTTCCCTACCCAGCTTCTGACCCCTAAATTTGATCATCCCCCTGACAAAAGGAGGCCAAACTCTTTACCACCTCAGTGACTAAACCCTGGAACACTACTGCTGCCAAGCACTTCCCTTCATGGCAAAAGTCCCAAACTCTCTCCTCCCTCCACCAGGCACAATTCCAAGCTGCTAAATTTTCTGGTTTACCCTTCCTATGGTCAATTCTACTAAAAGCCCTTTAAACTTTTTTCCATTTTACTTGTGTGTCCGTCCCCCCGCTCCGGTTTAAGTTATTCGTTGTTATAGAACAGTAGTTTCTGTTGGAAATGTTTTTACTGCTTGTTCTCCTACTTTTGATATTTTAGCAAGTTCTTTTCCCCTTATGGATGAATCTAAAATTAATTTGATAGTATTTTCCTCTGTATTATATTTGTTCACAGTTCACATCTCGAGTCACTCTAACGAACATTTGGCGGTCAGATCTGGTTCTCGCTTCTTTTTAGTATCTTGACTGTCTAGGATTTGCAAACAAAAATCCTAATTGCTGCACAGAGTGCCGTTTAAGTCACTGTGACACACTGCAAGAATAGGGGTCTGTGTGTGTTGTTTCAGGTCTTAACAAGGATTTTCTTGAAGCCTTTTTTTAGTTTATTTCAGGTTCACCAGGAGGTTGTCTAATCTCTCCTACAGGATATATTTTGTGTCTTGCAGAAAACCATACCTTTGGCTGGATGTAAGCACTGATCATAGCTGTTGCCTGAAGCCATTAGTTTTGGGGAGTAAAGATCAAAGAGTCTGCTAGGTGCCTCTGAAAAACTTTCAGGTTCACCAATACAAAAATACCTCTCCCAGCTCCAGGATCAAAGTTTAACTTGGCTAGAAGCCAGGGCCATGCTTCAAAACAGACTAAATATGAGAGCTGGCCACCAAGCATAGGGTCACCTGCTTTGAAGAAATGAATTGTCTAAGTCTTTGCCACCCAAATCACGGAAGTGCCTTGAGGAATATTAGAATTATATAGGACTTAATAACAGATTTGAGCTATAAAAATCATTTTTGTTGCTGATTTGTTCCAAATACCGTACTTATGAGGTAGGAATCAAATGGCTTGGAATTTACGTATATAATTTGTTTTTGTTTTATTTCTTCTGTTTATTAGGTTAGCAGTAGTGAGCAACAATATAAGTGGAAAAGGACTTGTTGCTCTTTCGGATTCAATGAAAACAAACATGGTGCTTTCCTACATTTATATTTGGGGAAACAAATTTGATGAGGACACCTGTGTCGTAAGTGTTTTCTATAGCACTGACTTTTTCCACACCTTATCTTCGTTTTATACAACTAGTATGCTCACTACAACTATTTGTAAAACTGATGTGTAGTTCATTATATTTTATTTTATTGTAAAATTATGGTAGTTGTGACATGGTCTTCTCATACCGAGCAATTACGGGACAGTAAAAATATACAAGTGATTAAAATGCCATTGAGTGCTGACCCAGTCTGCATCATCTTCTACTGTTCTGCTTTGGACTTTCTAAGCCTCTGGCAGGTAGAACATGTTAGAAGAATGTTAAATTTAAATCCTTTGCATTTGTTCATTTCAGGCATTTTCAGACTTAATTAAAACTGGCCGCTTGAAACCAAATTGTACAGACGTGGATCCGTATGAAGTGGATGGGCATGTATATCTTGCAGAACTCTCTCATGGCCTTAAAAGGCATTACTATTGGACACCAAGTTATGGGGAGGTTGATAACAAAGATGCTAATGCCAGTCTTGCCATAGGAACAGTTGCAGAACATTTGTGAACAAGGTAACAACTTGATGCATTTATATCTATCAGCTTGAGGGTTTTTCTGGCTTATTTCTTTGTAAATCAAAATGATAGTATGTAGTTTCTTGAGGAAGTTATTTTGGAGTGCGCCAATATACATTTGAAAAGTACTAGAGATAAAACCAACTTAAACTGAGTCCAACATGAGTTTTTTAACGAAGTAGTATATGTTGTTGCTGTAAGCAGTGGTTCCCAACCTATTTAGCATTGTGGGCCATATATGCAGCTCTCTCTGTGTTATGTGGGCCGCATCCACACAATATACATACTACCTATATAGCCCTGAGGTTGTCATATGGGCCACAGCTGTGTGCTGATTGAGCTGCAGGTTGAGGACTACTGCTGTAGATAAACAGAAGCTTGCTAAATGATGCCCAGACTATGATTAAAGGACTCTTATGATGAAAGTGCATGGGTTTAATTGCTGTCATTTTTTATATAAGGAGACACGATGATCTCTGTTACAGACTATTGTCTCAAGCTTCTGTCTTCTTTCTTTGCCCAGTCATTTAGTCAATATGATCCACCCTCCCACAGAGTAACAGTGGAAGAGCAACCAACTACGACAGCAGTACTTTGCACTGATATCTTCCACAGGTACAGCACAAAGTTGTGGGGTTTTTTTAAGTGACAGATTATACTGCCCTTAAAGAGAGTGTACATTGACAAGAAAATCAGGCTTCTAAAATAAAGCAAAATTGTCAAGTAGCTACAGCAATGCACTTAGAAAGCAACTAGGTAAGTATTATTGTTAGTTTGATTCTCAGTGCCACAATGTTGCTATCCTAGCGCTATGGGACTACTTAGGGCCCCACTGTATCAGGCAGAAATATCCAAGAGGGTATTGATACGGATTGTGTGTGCACAAAGTTAGCCTTAGCCCTGGAAGTGGAGAGAGAGAGAGATTGGGCTTTTGTGCCTGTTTAGATACCATGCAGATCAGAATCACTGTAATGACTTAGGCCAGTGGTTGATCTGCTCCAGTATCCTGTCTCTCAGTGTCCATGAGAAAGATGCATATTGGCCCATAATGGACAGTTATGGAATATCCTGCTTCCAGATAGTTTCTTCTTACTGTTAAATATCAGGGGGTAGCCGTGTTAGTCTGTAGCCACAAAAACAATGAGGAGTGCGGTGGCACCTTAAAGACTAACATTTATTTGGGCATAAGTTTTCGTGGGTTAAAAACCCCACTTCTGGGGTTTTTACCCATGAAAGCTTATGCCCAAATAAATCCATTAGTCTTTAAGGTACCACCGGACCCCTCGTTGTTTTCCTACGGTTAGGTAGGCCTGGTCTACACTACAGTTAGGTTGACATAAGGCAGCTTACGTCAACCTAATTATGTCAGTGTCTACACTACAGCCTTGCTCCTGCCGATGTTAAGTGCCCTACTACACTGACATAATAACGCCACCTCCATGAAAGATGTAGGGCTTATGTCGGTGTAGTTAGGGTGATGCAGTGTCTGTTACTTACATGGGCTGTTGGCTGTCTTGTCAATTTCATGGCATGAGCCGTGAAATTGACAAGAAAGTTGGATAGCTAGAGCCCAGCTGCCCCCATTCCCTGGGAGATCTGGCCATCTGGACCCCCCTCCTGGCTGGGAGCCGGAGCGAGGAGCTGGGGGGCAGCCAGGCTCCCAGCAGGGAGCTGCCAGCAGAGTTGAGAAACCGGGCTCCCCACACTGCCCCTCTTAGGTCAGTGGAAGCGCTCCTGCTGTGCCACCAACCCAAGCAGGGTAGTGTGGACATGCACCACCACAGTAATTACCGTGGTGGCTGTAAGTAGACCTAATATAGGTCGACTTAAGTTTCTAGTGTAGACATACCCTTAGTGGTAGGTTTATTTGAGAAGTATGATAGTATGTTTATATTCTTTGTCAAAATCTTAGATCATCCTCCCCTTTTGCTGCACATTTATGTTCAAACTACTTTCACTGATTAAATTAACAACTTATGGATTGTTAATTAACTATTAATGCTAATGATGGATAATTTTATTCATAAAAGTAATGTAAGCTTAAAATAGGCTGTGGTAAGTAACCATGACTCTGCCAAAAGCAGTGTTTTAATTTTAATTGGTTTGATGAGAGCAATAACATCACAAACAAAATGTGAAAGGATAAATGGCATCCATTTTGAAAATAAGTGATGTGTATTTTCAAAGAACACCTTCACTGCACCTCATTATTTATTTTAACAGTAAGAGCCTTGGCCTGTGACAGCACTCTGTTCTATTGACAATTATCACCAAAAGTTGTCCACATCTCTAACACCACTAATTCCTTCACATACTTTTTATGAGAGAGTGCTATAAGATGATTACTTCTAAATCTATTACAGTACTTATTTCAGCAGGTTTATTCAAATTAAAATAGCCAAAATAACAAATTCTGTCCGAGGACTAAGTTATCTTGTATACTTCTGAATTAAAAAATTACTATAGGCAAGAAACTACTACTTTATTCCTGTGAATAAACTGTAATAGCTAAAATGCTACATAGTTCTCATCTTTGGAGCTCCAAGCACTTTACAAGGGGAAACTGAGGCACTGGGACAAGATATGATTTGCCCAAAGTCACCCAGCAAGTCAGTGGCAGTGCTTTAGCCAACAGGCTCTACTGTCTCCATAAAAAAAAATACAAGTGATTTAAAAAAAAAAAAGTTAAGATAACCTCTGTAGAAGACATTCACTGCAAAGTAATTTATATCTGCTTTAAAACTTGGGGGTAAACTTGCATTGTTTTGCACACTGCTTTGAATCTTTCACTGCTAAAAATAATTATAGTAAGTAGTATTTAGAACAAAGTTTTTGTTCCTGTACACCCAAAATATTACCTTGTAGTAAGGGACTTAGGTGTTTTCTTCTGTTGGAAGGAAAATGTAATGAATGATGCTGTTCCCAAATAACCCTTATACAGCTGTATACGGTGCTAAGGGCTGTCTCTGAGCCCTCTATGATGCTAGCGTAGTGCGTTGTGATGGTGGTTATGTTAGACTGTCTCCCCTCCTCCTTTAATTACTACCCTTTGTAATTACAAACACCAGACACAAGCTGAGGGAAAATTACAAAACAAGTTTATTAAAGCCTAACATAAACACTGCAACCTAAGTATGTACAAAACCCCCACAGGGGATTATAAAAAAAAAGAATTGAACTATCTACACATAACAGAAGGAAAAACACTTTGTATATACAGGAAAAATACTTCAATAATAACTTAACCCAAATCAATTACTAGTTCTTATCTAGACCTATTTCTGTAAGTCTTACCAACAGCCTCTCACAAAGTCCAGTCTTGTAATCCTTATTCAGGGCTTTTCTACACTTGGAATTTACCAAAATAATTATTGCAGAGTAGCTATTCTGGTATAACTCTTCATTCTGGAATAGCTAGCTATTTTGGTAAATTTCCAAGAGTAGTCAAGCCCTCAGGCAAAACTTCCATTAAAGTTAGTGGACTTGCTGAGATTTGGATCACACTAGAGATATTCTTTAGAAATCTTTTTCAAGATTTTAAAGAAATTTTAATGCTCCCGCTTTCATTTTTCAGAAAGGAGAAATTTGGTTAACTATTAACGGGATTTGACTATTTAAGCTGTCCACGTTTTCCCCCTATTCACTCTTTACATGGACCATCAATCCTCTTGATATAACTTCCAGCTCCAAATTGAACTTGAGAGCAGTAAGCCTCCACATAAGAGATGCATGGAAAGTACTCCAGGCATTGTCACAGATATGCAGTAGAGCTCTCTCTCAAAGTTCAACAGCACCCAGCTGGAACTCTTACACATTTTTTTACATTATATGCTATATTAAATTAATATATTTAAGGGAAATGAACTCAGCAGCTGAGTCATTTTCATCAAAGTTGAGGATAAGAATTGGTACTCAAGAGTACAGATCATTAAATTATTGCTGCAAGAGAACAACTTTATTGGAACCTGTGTATTCTGTGAAGAGAGGTTTAAAACCGTTGTCTTGTAAAAATGATGATCTTCCTGTGTATAAAGAAAACTAAATGAGTAATATAAAGCAAATGTCACCTCTATAAATATCTAAACTGGATCCAGTATAAATCTAAGCACGGATTTTTTTTTTTTTTTAAAAGTCTGAAATGTAAGAATACTGTAGTAATCTAAAATTTTAGAAATATAAAAACAGTTGAAACAAACATTCTTATGGAATGCATATTCTACATAGGAATGTGTTTTTCAGAGTTAGTTTGCTCTTCTGGTAATATATGCATTACTCAGTAATTCTGAACAAGTTAAACTTTTTTTTTTTTTTAAGTAATAGCACATCAGAAGAGATGTACTTTAATACATTTAAAGATGAACTTGCCAAATAGCAGTGTAACCATATGAGTTGGCAGAGCGCTTAAGACGGCTTTTCTTTTGTGCAATACTAATTACTAAAACTGCGTTCATCCTTATACCTTTGCTGTATTTTTGGTCAGAAAATGCAGCCTTAGATCTGGTCACATGGAGTGGACCTTTGTCACTTATATTCAAGGCCCTGCTTTTTGGTGCGATTCTTCAGTCACAGAATTACCAGTTGGCCACGGAATCCTTGAGAGATTACGAGGGAAAAAAACAAAGATTTCAAAAGAATGAAAAAAGCCACACTGCGCACCACTGAAAACCCAAAATGATTCATCCAATGTCCTACACTCATGTGCTGAAGGACAGTAGATGCTGCCAAATGCTGTAATGGAGATAAGTGCAAAGTGAAGGTCAGGAAGCAATGGCAAGGATTGGCTTCAGTGCAGTGAGAAGACTCTTGGGAGACTTGGTTGTACTTCATAATGTCCAGTAACCCTCAACAGCAAATTGACCACATGTAATTAAGCATTAAACAATCAAAAACAGTTTTACACATGTCACATTTAAAATTATAAACAACAAAAGATGAAAGGTCTATTTCATTTAAAAGATACAGACAAAGGAAAACAGACACATGGATAAAGAAAGCAACAAATAAAAGACAGAGCCATGCCCAGGATTCAGGAATCCATTCGCAGAGGATAAATCCACTAAGAAATTTTTCACAAGGCCCTTTTAATTAAGGTGAAGATGAGTTGTTATATGGAGTAGAGTAAGAATTATATTAAGAGGCATCTTCTATGCTCTTCTGTTTACCACGGCCTAGACCCAAGGCACCAATGCAGATAAAATGGTATCAACAAATAACCAACCAACCAAGAATGCACTTAAAAATATCACAGGTGCTGTTTATCTGACTGGAGAAAACATGCCTTTGTGGCTCTTTATTTGATGATTCTTGACAGTTCTAAGATTGACTTGGTGAGGCATAAAAACACTCCCACTAATCACAATGGAGCTTAAGCAGTGACGCTGTCAGACACCAGAAACACTGCTTGTAAAAGAAAAAGCTAATGTAAACTCCTTGGGCCAGGCTTACAGACAATGTGGTTCAAGCTGCAGTAGCCACAGTTGGATATCAATAGAGGTAGAAGAAGATCTGGATAACTCAAGAGATATGACGTCTCACTGAGGAAGGAAAGGTTTCAGAGTAGCAGCCGTGTTAGTCTGTATCCGCAAAAAGAACAGGAGTACTTGTGCCACAAGTACTCCTGTTCTTTTTGAGGAAGGAAAGATATTGAAAGGAAAACTCCTGAATGCTAAAACCAACCAGAGTACTGGAAAAAGCAGAGGAGTGCATGAAAGCAGACAGAGCGGTGAAAAGCAACACACGGGCAGAAGAATGAAGATACACTGAAGATCTAGCAGCTGAAGCTGCTGCTATTATGGGATATCAGAGCTATTTACCAAGTGATTAAAATCCTGTGTGTCAATTTCAGAATAGGACATGGGCCAATAAAAAGCAAAGATGGAAAAATGCTTACAACTGAGGTAGAACAGAAAAATTAATGGGCAGAGCATTCACAGAAGTCCCCAACAGACCAAGGTCGACTTCAGCACCAGACTTCCATTTAAACATGCAAACCTGACCAACTTGACGTTAACATCAGTCCAAGAGGGATGACAGAAGTACAGGCCACAATCAGGAAGCTGAAAAAAATAACAAAGCAGCAGCAGATGATCCAATCACTGCAGAAATGCTAAAAACATTTGATACCATCACCTTAATGAAACTGACAGAGCTGTTCAATAAAGTTTGGGAAAAAGAGAAGCCGCCTGACCAATGGAAATATGGAATCATTGTCAGAATGTCCAAAAGGGGTGATCTTATTGACTGTAACAACTGAAGAGGAGTTACACTACTCTGTTGCAGGGAAAGCCTTCTGTAGTGTGATTCTAAACAGGATGAAAGCGGCAGTGGATGCAAAGCGTAGAAAACAGGCTGGATTCAGGCCCAAGAGATTCTGTGTAGACCAGATATTCCGTTAAGGACTACCACAGAAGAAAGTATAGAATGGCAAGCTCTCCACAACAATTTCACTGATTTTTTTTTTTCAAAAGGCTTTTTTTTTTCCAAAGATAGACATACATTATGGACTATTCATTCTTCACTCCTATGGAATCCCAGCTAAAGTCATAATCATCATCAAGGCCACGTACAGAGATGTGAAGTGCTCTGCAAGGGTGGACACCCAGAAAACTGAATGGTTCAGTGTGGACACTAATGTGAAACAGGGCTACATTTTATCACTGCTGTAGTTTAGCATTGCCATAGACTGAATATTGAAGAAGTGTATTAGCAACACTAACACTGGTATAGCGTGGGGGAGTTGGCAAATGTCTAGAAGGCCTAGACTTTGCTGATGATATCATGCTGAATGACACCCATGAAAAGTTACTAATAAAGACAGACAACCTTGCCGCCAACAACAACAGGCCAATCAGGGCTCAAAATTAGTCATGCTAAAACAAACATCTTTGAAACCTAGATTTCAAGTAGTAATATTAATATTACTGGCAAAAATATCAAGAAAGTAAACCCATTCATCTACCTTGGCAGCACCATATTGACCAATGGACATCACAAGAAGGAAGTGACATCAAGAATAGGAAAGGCACTCACAGCATTACTAACCTTAATATGGAAAATCATACCAAAACTGAGAATTTTCAATTCTAATGTAATCTCAGTGCTAACATATGGCTGTGACAGATGGAGATCTACCAAATGGTTAGACAGAAAACTAGACACTATTGAAAATAAGTGCCTATGTAAGATTCTGGAGAGTGAGAAAGACTTCATTACCAATGAAGAGATCCATGAAATCAATCAGCAACTCATTTCCACCACACTCAGAAGGAAGCCCTGAACATATATGGGGCATGTACTCTGGATGTCAACACAGACTCCACATGAAGCTGTTCAGTGGAAACCAACTGGTGTGAGGAAATAAGGAGTCCAAGAGAAACCTTAAGAAGAACCTTTAGCAGAGAGGGAGGGCAGAATAGTTTGTCTCAGCACCATAGAGCAGACAGAAGCAACAGCAAAAGACAGAGGAATTGAAGAGCCTAATATCTGCCCTGTGTGCCAAATGGCACACAAATGTTTGTTTAAAAAAAACCAGAAAAACAAACCTTTTTCACATGGGTCTTGTTACAAACCGCAGCAACTGCCTAAAACTGCACTACTGGCATGGGAAATAAAGCAGTAGATAAACACTGCATTTATTTTTTAAGGAAATGTTTTTCTATTATGCCCTCCTGAATTCTGGCATGGAATAGTAAGAGCCCATTGTGGGTAACCCCAAAGTTTAGGGCCTCTGGTCAATCTTCTTTACTAAAACACCCCCATCTTTAGCTTTCATTTAATTTTTTTAGAGTAAATTTATTGCTCATATATTGTAAGCTCATCAGGGCAGGAACTGTCTCCCCTGATGTGTCTGTACAGTGCTTAACCCAAAAGGGCTCTGATCCTTACTGGGAGCTCTAGGTGCTACTGTAATATTAATAACTATGATGATGAAAGTCAGACATGTGCTACCCATGGCTCCTCACAGCTAACTCAACACACCTTCTTACTTACAATAATCCAATAATGCTTCAAAAACATTTCACCAGAGAACTGGCCCAGTTGCCATTGTATACTCCTCTGACATTGGCCTGGAGTTTGGGAGCCTGTGTTTAATAAATTTAAATTAAATTAATGGAGATATCCTATCTCCTAGAGCTGGGAGGGACCTCGAGTCCAGCCCCCTGCCTTCACTAGCAGGACCAAGTATTGATTTTGCCCCAGATCCCTAAGTGGCCCCCTCAAGGATTGAACTCACAACCCTGGCTTTAGTAGGCCAATGCTCAAACCACTGAGCTATCCCTCCCCCTTCATGCAATTTTTTTTAAACAAGGCTGTGTACAAGGACCACACCTGTGAGTTAAAGTATTTAAAGTAAACTAACAAACAAAAATATGGCTTGAAAGTCTGCTCACAAATGACACTAACATGTTAGTTCTGCATGAGCATTGGAGGAGATCTCCAGAGTACAGTTACGTATCTATTTAACAGACGATTCTTAAGGCAGGTGCTCTGGAAAGGTATTTCCTCCTAGGAAATGTCAGTGGTCAATTACAATGGTAAATATGATTTCGGATTAGCAAAATTTAACAAGAAGTGAGAAACAGCACTGCACAGTGTAGATACATTACCAAATGTCTTCACTCAAATGAATGAGTAAGAGTAAGTCCAACATCTTGGATGATGACGTTCACCTTACCAATAATGTGTGTGTTCACTACCAGGATTGTCTTGTTGATTCCCATATCGCACAGAGTCAGTACAACTGCTGCAGGAAAATAAACTGAGGTTCTGAATATCCAGTCACAGCAGACCTCAGCAATGTGTCTGAGGAAGGAGACTGATTACCAGTTATAGGCAGCAGCATCTGATGGTCTTCCGTCCCAATGGGAAGAGGAAGTGGTAAAGACATCTCAGAAGGCTTCACATCTGCAGACTCTGACAAAGGGCTTTTCTGATTCTGAATGGATTCTTGCTCATTGTAGGAATTATCAACTGTGTTAGAATCAAGGGTGGTTTCAGATCCTCAAAACAAAACAAACAAAATTTGTAACACATTTATTCATGAGGAAAAAGTAAAATGCCTGCAATTAATGTAAGGAAAAGTACACTAGTGACAGGAAAAACCGTTGAGTGGGTGAGGTAAATTAAGATATGAACCTTTTTTATCCATCAAAAAACCTCAACACTTCCCCACCATCAAATGATAAAATCATAGAAATGCAGGAGTGGAAGGAAACTTGAGAAGTCATCTAGTCCAGTCTCTCTCTCTCCCAACCCCGGAAGCAGGAACAAGTACACCTACTTCAGTCCCCTTAAAACACTTTGTTACAACTATTCTCTTCTAGGGAACAAACACTGGATAGAGAACTGCTCAAAATTCAAAAAGGGTGATCTGCAGCACTGCAAAGCTATCCCTTTCATCCAGCTGGCTGGTAGGCTTAAAAAAGAGTTCTTTAAGTGTAAGCATTTGGGGTGTCTGAAACTGCCTGAAACTCAGCCACCAAGCCAGTCTGAGCTTAGTCTGAGCTTTAAGTATCAAGTCCCTGGTGCCTGTGTCCAGGCCGTGATGGCTCGAGAAATGATACATCACAACAGAGCCTCCATTATATGGGCCATATTAGAGTAACAAATCCTTAATGTCACAGTTAGGATTTGTTACTCTACTATGGGGAAAATCAGCAGGGATTCCCTGAAATATTCTAGCAGTGGGCTGTAGAACCTTGGGCATGTCAGGCATCACCTCTTTCAATTAACACAGTGCTAGGAAGAACAGAACTTTTGCAGGAGAAGGTTGTTTTTACACAGTCACTGTCTAGAGTACAAGTGCACTAGAAAAATCAGTTTTGTTCAGGTCTCAGCTGAAATGGGTGACAATGGATCTTTCATTAAACTTTCACATGTCTCCCCTGAATCCTTGTAGGGCTTTGAGTCAGGCCCTGCTGAGGCTAGATAAGGATATTAATTAATCGTGCCATGCCAATACAATATTATGGTAGCATGCAAGGGCCACACACTAAGCAAAGGTTTGCAGTTCTCCTGTTGATGCTACTTTAACTCTCTTCTCTCCCTGCCACCACTTTTGCTTCTTTCTCACCTCATCGTCCATGTGTCCACATACTCAGCCTGCACCACACTCCAGCTCCTTCAGCCTGGCCCTCCTTTGCTTGGCAGCCTCTACATCCCTCTCCCAACCTGTCTCTTCACTATTCTTCCAGCTCCACTTCCACCAAACCCTCCCCAGCAGCGTACAGCTTGTCTCTCCCTGATACTCCCTTCCTTTATCTACTAGATCCTCCCAACCCATCTTCTACATGCAATTTCACTAGTCCATGATCCTCAAAGTTGCGACTGCACGTTACTTCTCCTCATTCTGCTAGTCTCTCCCCTGTACTGTCTGGGCCAGCCCCTGTGATTTTTTTTTTTATGCAACTAGAGGCAAGGGGGTTGTGGTATTAATGCACTTAAGTATGGACAGATGTGATCCACTGTAAGAAGGCATGCCAATCTGGAGGGAGGTTGTTTACATTATCATCTGAACTGCCCACATACAACTCCTCCATGCTCAGTACTGTAAGCTATCTGTATACCAAAGTTACTGCCATTCAAACACTTGCATGTAAATCTAGGAAGAATAGGACTAGGTATAACTGAGAAATCTTTTTTAGGATAGAATTCCTAATTGTAAGCATTGCACCAGCTGTCTATCTGAGCTTGCATGCCTGTTAATCCAGCTCAGACATGGATTAACTTTGACTATATAAAAAACCAAACCCAGCATCTTTAACCATTGCATAAAGGAACATTTGGGCCTACAAAGAATCAGGAAAAGTAATTCCTGGAATTGGTGTGTCTCATTCACCTCAAATCTATACCTGTGAGAGCCATCAGAATGTGGGGTACAGCCATACTGAATAGGATTCACAAAAGTCTTTTGTGACCCAGATGACTTTCACAGCTGTTTTAGAGCAGAAATCTTTCAGTTTTATTAGATGAGACCAGATTTTTAAACATTAATAGTCTTGTCTGCAGCCCCCCCACTCCCTATTGACAATAGTGGCTTAACACTATAGTCACTGCATTTTCTTTTTTAACATTGCGCCAGGACCTTCCATTTTAAAGCCTGCTTTTTTCAATCCTTATCATCTGAAAGATTTGGGTGCCATTAGAGCAGATATTCTAGGCATTAAACAGAGCTACTAGCCAGGCCTCTTTTCTTATCTAATTTTATGTTACATTTAAAAACATTTATTCAGCACTAAAGCAGAATTGTTATTCTATGACCCCAAAAATTCATTTTTACAAGACTAACACTTACCTGTGTGAACTTTTGTTTTGTGCTTTTTTAAATTTTTTATATCTGTGTAAGAATTTCCACACAGTTCACAGATAAATGGTCTTTCACCTGAAAAATGGTTTGACAGTTAGAATTGCAGAACATAATTGCAAAATGACAACAGAGAAAAACTATTTCTTAAGCTGTCTATACGACAAAAGGCAAAATAATTGCAATGAAAATTACTTTAACAGCTTTATGAACTAAACCTATCTAAAAACAGTATCCAGAATGAAAACTTTCAAAGAAAGACGAGATGAAAATGGTGAATACAGGACTGACTGCTTCATTTGAAGCAGATCATATACCCACTTGTCTTTGTACAAATGTTTATCTGAAAACTAATACTGCAACGTGAATATTTTCTTTAATATTTAAATAATTCCCATGTTACTCCATATTACAATGCTTTACAGAGAGACCGCACTTTATAATCCAAGGAATGGATAAAAAAGTATAATCTCTATTTTACAATTGAGGAAACAGAGACTCCAAGAGGTTAAGTGGCATGCTGACTCACACAGAGGAAGTTTAGCATCAGAGTTCCTGATTCCCTGTTCTGCTGAAGTCTTGTTATTTTAGATTTACAACACTTTAGATTTATTTAAAGAAAAACTATCTAATCAATTTTTAAATGAGTTAACACAGATTCACAGTGTGTCCTCTTAATTTATGTCTCAACTATAGCACAGTACATCATATTTTAAATGCAAAAGAGCATCCTGAAAAAAATTTACAACACAGGAAGTGGCCTATCTGGAAACTGACCTGTATGAGACCGAAAATGTTTATTGAGCTCTCCTGAGGAAATAAAACTTTTGCCACAAATGCCACATATATATGGTTTCTCTCCTGAAGGGTACACAAGGTGGTTAGTATTTCAATATACAGACGTGTGTATGTAAAATACATATTAAACAGAGTCAATGTACAATGGTGTGAAGAGCTCCCCAAACCGCAATGAAAATTCAGATTTGCAACACTAAGCAACCGTCAAGGAAAGGCCCAAGGAACGAGCTGACCTGTCTCTGGTACTTTCTCCTATACAGATTCCATACCCACTAATGCAGACTCCATTACTCCACTCCTCCCCAAATCCAGCTCTTTAGACTCCCATATCACTAATTGCTCCCTTTACCTCTTCCGCTGCAGCCAACCCTCTCCAAGACGGATCCCCAATTTACGCCAGCTCACTTATCCTCACCTGTATGTTTTCGAGAATGAGTGATCAGAGAACTGGACACTGCAAATGCTTTCCCACAGGTGTCACACACATACGGCTTCTCTCCTGTATGGCGACGAACATGGTACGTCAGTGTGCTGGCCTGAGCAAACCTCTGCCCACACCTATCACACACGTAGGGCTTCTCACCACTGTGCTTCCTAGTAAGAAACACATGCCTTAGAGAATCCCACACAAGATGAAAGGAACTTTGTATTACACCAGTTAATATCTTACATCTGGCCTCACTATGGTGATATTTTGTGGCCTAACAGGAGTAAGATTAGAGTTTAGTTTTCAGATGGAAGTTTCTCACCCTCAGTCAACGGAAAGAGTCCCACTAACTTCAGTGGCTGTTGGATCAGGCTAAGGGCATTGCACAGGCAATAGGTCAACCCTGAGAAGTAAGCAAGACTTGTGTCACTCTAGTATGAAAGCTGACCACCAACAACACTGACAGCCACTGCAGAGAGACATGTTGTACTCTTCCCTGCCAGAGAATATAAACGGATTCATCCCTTCACCAAAACAATAATGGCAGAGAAGTTCTCTTCTCTCAGTATGGTTAGAAAGGGAAGAAATTACCAAATGCAACAGGGGCGCTAGGATGAATGATTCCACATGGACTGCTGTTCCAAATCACTACCTTGGGTGGAAGAAGCATGCCGAGTACATACACTAGTCTGCAATGAAGACCTGGAGCTGAAAGTAGGGAAGGACTGGGAATGACAAAAACAAGTACAACATTTCTTTAGGCCTGAACCTGCAAGTGTGCACACACACACTTAACTTCCTGCGCAAGTTGTTGTTTAAGTCAACTATTCACATGCATGAAACTAAGCCTGTGCATAAGTGTTTGCAGGATCAGGGCTTTAGTTAGTACTTTCACTCACCTGGCATGGATCTTCAGATTGCTTGAAGTTGCAAACTGCAGATTGCATACATCACATTTATATGGTTTCTCTTCTCCATGATGCATGCGACTGTGGAAAACTAGCTGGCATTTCTGGGCAAAGCCTTTGTCGCACAATTCACATTTGTATGGCTTCTCCCCTGGGAAAGAGAAACTGTTACCCTTCCCCTGTCTTGGTGTCTATGTAAGAAAGCCTTCAATTAAGTTAGTCGACCCAAACTCAGGAGTTAACCCTAGTAGTTCTTGTTTAGTGATGCCACATAGCAGCCAACAATCAAGCAGCTGAGCCTGCACATTATGAGAACTGCAGCAGATAATTTTTTTAAAGCATCACCATTTGAAAATTCTCTGGTAATTAACTATTAGTTTTAATAAAATCTATTCTTCACAATTAATACTAGCACTGAACTGTCAGTAGGCAGAGAATCATTTTAACTTATGCAAAAGCCTGGCTATTTGAGATGGAGAAGACCTGTTAAGTTATCTGGTCTGTCCAACTAGTATGTTCTTCAGTTCTTGCTAATATTTCCTTAGTGTCTGCTGCAGCATGCTAACAGCAGTTCCATGACCATTCACTATTTTTTAATTGATATTAGGGCATTCTCTAATAAATATGTGCTAAGTACTATTCCTAGGTCTCATGTGACTGTATAGTAGGAGAACATGAGTTTATGTTACTATGGTAGTGCAGAATCTGTTAGTAGGCAGAGGTTTCAGAGATCCTTAAATTTAATACATAATGCCATAGATCAAGGCTTGCCAAAAAAATAAATTACCAGACACCTGCTCTCCAGAGGACTAAACCTGCCATCCAGTGGCTGATACAAATGATAAAGTTTCCCACCCATCCATGCAAAGTCCAGGTGCAAGAACCAGGAAAGGGAAATGCACTGCTGATGTTTCTACCAAAAACACTGTCCTTGAACCCTGCTCAGGGGCTCCAACTTTCATATTAGACTGTGGCTAGTCAGCGTCTGGTATATTTGAAGCCCTCCCCCTTGACTACTGGAAGGGAAAGGAGTTCTTCTCTCGGCCCACCCTTACAGCCTTTTATTTCCCCCTACTCTACTCCTTCCTGAGATTCCTGGAAATAGCTCCATTGCCTGAATCTGCCCAAAGAGGAGCATAATGAAACTGAACTCATGTTAGGAAGTTTCACTACTCCCCTAGAGTCCTGAATAACAGCAGTAAAAGGCACCCGTGTGTAGACAGTTTTACTCTGTCACCTACTGAGAAGGCTATGAGCAGCAGCAGCAAAGGCACTGGGGCTCTCTGCAGACAGCACAGCATCAATTCATATTTGGAAGGTTATTCTCATAACCATGTGCTATAAACTTTATGTAATTAAATGAAAGCTCAAATTCTGTAATAATTTATGGCTTAGCAATGCACTATAAACAAGATATCACTGTCAAAGTTTCCTACTTGCCATTGGGGATTGGATTTTTCAACCCCTGATGTTATCAAAGTCATTCTGGTACATCAAGACTTGACAGACATAAATAGCTGCACAGATTACTATGTTGTGTACATCATGGAAATCTGAAAGCCAGTGAACTAATAAATTATAAAAATGCCATTAATGTGACATAGCATGAAAGGAGAGTCTGATCTCTTGTATATCAGTCAGACATTTTCTGCATTGCACTCCACTTATTTACCTTATAAGGATAAAGGACTGAATCAGATCTGCTGGGACTTCAGGAAGTCAAGGTATTCCCTACAGGGTGCTTTGACTGCAGTGCTGTCCTTTCTAGCTATACTATTTTTCTAGACACATTCATAGTTTCTGTTTTTAAATATTACAGACTGGTGGAATGCAATTAGCACTGACCAGCAGTTACCATCCAAATATACAGTACGTCAGCATGAAGATTCGAAGCTTCTGAAACAACATATTAGAAGAAAACAGGGCTCCTTTTTAGTTATGCTTCCCCATGCTATCATTAAAAACAGAAGAAGCCCTTATAAACAAGACCACAGCTTACCTGTGTGCGTTCTGACATGTGTTTTCAGCTGATTACACTGTGTAAATGCTTTCCCGCAGAGTTGACATACATAAGGCTTTACTCCTTTGTGTATTCTCATGTGTCGTCGTAGACTACTGGCTTCTGAAAATATTTTCCCACAAGTGTTGCACACTGGTTTGGCCTTGGAGTATTTCTGATCGAGTTCTTCTCCAGAGCTCTCCAGTTGGTAAGAGTTCTTTTCACTAGCTATATTAGACATACTATGTTCTTTCAATGCACAGTTCTGCTGTGGCTTCCCCCGTTTTTGTTTCACTGTAATAGTCTGAACCAAAACATCTTGTGCTGCAAAAGTTTCACTTTCCACCACAGACGCTAGCTGTAGCTCTGAGTTATCGCTGCCTTGGGCAGCTTGTTCCGTTATCTGTGTGGCAAGTTTATTTGCATCTAAAAACATATCAACTGATGAGTTCTCAATTATGTCATTCTGATATTGCACTGGTTTATTCTTCATGTTTTTCTGAGAGTTAAAAGTCTTTTTTCGCTTTCTGGTCTGAGTAGATTTCTTTTCTAAACCCACTTTTTTTGCTTGTGGCTGAACTGAGTCTGCAGAAGGGGCATCTGATTTCTCTCGATTATTGTAATCTCGAAGAGTGAGGAGGCACGTCTGTTGGTTCAGTTCAATGTTTCCCGTAATACTAGAAATCTCTGTAGAGGAGGGATTAGCAATAAAAGCAAAGTCTTCCATCTTTATTTTACATTTAGTGACCACCTCCTCCACTTTGAGATAGTCAGCAGCCTGGTGAATTTCTTTAACATTCCAACTGCAAGGAAACAAGGCTAAATGACAATATTCTGGACAAAGAAAACCTGTGTCTCTAAGAATCAATATAAATAAATACTAAGATTTTTACGTGGCTGTTCTCTTATTTAAAAATAGTTTCATGGTTAAAAAAATATAACAACTGTCAGGGGAGAATCTAACAAAATCTAACTTTATATCTTTGACATTTTGAGATTATTTAACACTGATATAGGATAGGAGACATACAAGCTGACAAAAATAATTCTATAGTGGTTTCATTCAAGGATCTTAAAGCACTTCACAGACAATGAATAAAACCTCAACACCTCTGTGATGTAGGTATTAGCCCCATTTTACAGACAAAATTGTTTTCAAATGATCATTGCCGTGGATCAGTGGCAAAGACAGGAGTAAAACCCAGGAAGTAGAGCTTTAGGCCACTATACTTTTGCTATACCTGAACAGAGGTCAACCTATACTGATTTAAAAAAAATGTGTTATAACAAATAACTACCTCTGGAGCTCACAATGCTCGAATACAAAATCAGTGGTAAACAACGTGATTTTAGTATGGTAATAGGTTACCCAAAAGACAGGTTTTAAATAAAGCTATTCTCTGTCAACACAATATACAAAGCAATTACTTTCGTACAATAAAATGACTAAGAATTATACAGATCACCTTGGTCTAAGCTTACACGGGTTCATTAGAAATGCAAAAGGGAAAAAAGATGATTAAAAAAAAGAAAAGCAGTGAAGTTCAGCAGATCAACCCAAGTTTTGATATTCTGAATATTTCTTCATGTGAAATAATATGCAATACTAAAGTGAGTAAAACAGAATTTACCACAAGTGTTCTTTCAACCCCTTTTTTCTTATCTCCTTCCTTGTCTTATCTGTCTTTCTTTCCTGCCTTTCTTCTTGTCCATCTATTTTCTCCTCCTCTTCCTCTCTCTTTACCTCTCTTCATTAAGGGCAAGGCCAGCAGTTACAGAAGCATTCTAAGGATGCTGCAGTGGTTTGTGAAAGCACTTTCTTAAAGAAAAACTGCAGTAATTGGTTTTAATAGCTTTGAAAGATAAATATTAACTACAGAATATCTTGAACACAACCCCCCAAGTTAGTTCAGCAGTAGGGTGGCACAGTTCAAATCACAACAAGCCAGGAAATACAAAACTAAGGTTCCATCTATTGCGTTAACTTGTCTGCACTGCTGATGGAACATTAAATTTTATTATACGTAAGGTACATGATTTTACCACAAAAATATATATTAAAGATACACAAAGAATAGAAAATACCGTGGCAACTATTAAAAACTAGACATTTATCATGGTGCATGAGATATATCCTGATCTAATAGGAACTACCAAAAATACAATGGTATAAAAAGTAAATACAGTGGTGCTGTAAAAAAATCCATTTTTTTAGTAACACCCACTGTACTAAATATGTGCAGTGTGGCAGAACTAATGATGCTCTTACATTGCCTGACTTTTTGTCATTTCATTTGTGCAACCAAGATGCTGTATTAACAGTTTTACATTCAATTTCTGCCAGAGTGGATCCAATTGCAGGATCAGAGCCTAAATAACTAAAAACTGCTTTTTTTGGTACTCAGAGGTAGTGATTAGAATACCTTGTATTATACAAGTTTTCCTCTCAAGCACTGATTGCAGAGTGAAATTGTCTATGGCTCCAATCCTTTAAGTACTTCTGCATGGAAGCAATTGTTTTCTTTCCCCACATGAACAACAGGAAAAACTGACTACACACAAAGTGATGTAAAGTGCACAAAGTTAATAACTAAAATGTGGAGAAATATTTGTTCTCTAATCACTTTCGGGTACAGTAATAAGAGGCGTTACTTGTAACAGTAAGAGGTAAAACAAATTCATACAGAAGTGCAATTTTTGAATTGATGGTGTCCCTAAACTATCTATCACAGGGTGAATGTCCCCTTTAAGAGGAAATGGATCCAGTTCACCTGTGACTAGTTAGCTGCCTCCCAACAGGACCTGACAGAAGGCACCTTGCTTCTATAAAGACCATGGCAGCAGTTGAGAAAAGGGAGCATATCAGAGTTACTTGGAGAGTGCTACATAAAACAGTAATAGTTGGGAGCTTCTTGTGAAGAGAAAGATGTGTAGAAAACTGTTGGGAGAGTGAAGTAGATGGAAGTTGTTGGAAAAAACTGGCCAGATGAGAAAACCCTGAGAAATAGAAGACTCATATAGAAGCCTCAAGGTAAAGGGGAAGAACTAGCTCAGAGTAGGCCAAGCCCATGAACTAGAGAACTGATTCTAGAGGGGGGTTCCCATAAGAAGGGGTAGGACTTGCAAGCAGAGGAGCCTGGGGAATGAAACATTGTGGAGAGTATGTGGCAGAGATGTGGCAGCCTAGGCATAGGAATTGGAGAAGAGGGACTACTTATTCTTGGGTGGGCAGCCAGGAGTGTAGACCCGGAGGATTGCTGCATTTCAACCTGCCTTATTTTGGGGTTTTTGAGAACTGTATTACTCAGAGGGACTTGCTGAAGGTTGAAATTCTATTAATAAGTTATACCTAGAAGAAGAGCTTCACTTAGACATAGAAGGACAACAGTCCTTTCCTGGGTGGGGAAAGATGACCTTCAGGGTGATCCATGGAGGAAAAGATGGACAACTCACTAGCCTAGGAGATTGTAGGAGAAATTGAGGGAGGACTAGCCCTGACCCATCATGGTTGATTACAAGAGGGTGCTCTTGTGGTGCTGAGTTCTGTTACATCTTCTTTCAAATACTGGTATTTGCCTTTCCTGCTTATGCAGCTACGTCTGTCTCTGTATATGAGGAAAAATGGGCTCCTGTACAACCAACATTACTGTGGGGGTTATCCTTCTCCTCCCAGAAATTAAGTAGGATGGATTTTTTTAATCTCAATCCAGAGAGCCAGAGTCACAAATATGAAAACTCCTACCAGCAAGTCATTTGACCAAATATAGTTTGGAGAAGATTTATATAGATGCTATGGAAAGATGATTCTAGTTACTACTCTGACAAGGTAGCTAGATGTGAATATGGGTGTGAATTTATCTGAAAACCAGACACACTCTAAATGGCTTCTGGATGGCTTACACAAACTAAGTTTTTAATGTTTTTATATTTACAAGAGAGAGAGAGAGATCAGGGTCACCAAGGTGAGTCTGGCATGCACATAAAGGCTTTGGTGTAGAAATTGAGTGGATGAATGGGAGAGGGGGCAGAGAGAACTACAGCAACTCAATCTGAAAAATGATTAGGTGACAGCAATTGTAAGGGTTAATAATGAGTTTAGATACCTTAGCAAGAGAGAAAATAGGAAACCAATTTCAGTTTTAACAAGCTAGACACTATCACATACTTTGAATAGAAAATAATAAAGGAACCCTAGTTGGTTTATATGCATGGCCGTATTTTAAAAGCCATGTAGACTGCTTTATTCTTTAGTATGTATTGTATCTGAAATTAAATGTGTTCTGCCATAAATTATGACAAAGAAATCAGTACTGGATCTCTTTAACTTAAAAAAAAAAAAAAAAAAACTTGTTACCTGTCAAGGTTTAAGTTTCCCGTGTATATAAACTCCAGGAGTTTCTGAAATCCATCAGCCTTCACTTGAGTCTGATCCAAAATCACATTACTGTCAGAGGCATCCCTGTAAAATGCACCAAAGTACTCGCTGAAGGAGGCAAGCACATTTCTGTGAGCTTTGAACTGGAATTCACCAATAACTACCGTGCAGTCACAAAGGAAGCCTGTCTCTCGCTGCTTGTTCAGTCTCTCTAGAAGGTGCTCACAGTGATGGGAATACTGCATTTTGGTAGAGGGATGGAGCGTCTTGGCCTAAAGAAGCAAAGGAACTTGTTTACAACTGTAACTTCATGTCTTTCAAACACAGTAAGTTAAGTGGGACAGTGTCCAATACTGTTCCCATGATCATTGCAATGCACCTCACTTTAATAGTGTCCTTTGTACAAAATATAAAAAACAGAAACAGAGCATTGGATCCCTCTCAATGGTGGGCCAGTTAGTCTTAATGCATACAGAGACAAGGTGTGGGAGGGAAAAGGACACATTAGTGTGTGTATATATACAAATTTTCCCCTGCCCCTGAAATCTGAACACTAGGTGGATCATTCATTGGTCCAAGTCTATCAGCCTGATGCTTCTACAGAAATGGTCCTGTAACCTGTAAGATGAATGTTAAAGTTTCTAATTGGTGGAGCATCTCCCTACAGAAACAGACTTTTTTTTTCCATTGGACAGATCATGGGAATGGTTACTATGAACTACTGAGTTCTAGTGCCAGATCTGCAAGTGTGTGGCTCTTGGCAAGACAACGTCTCTGCATAACTTTCTCCGCGTATACAAGGGGGATAATGTTTACTTACAGCTATGTCACAGGAGTGCTGTGAAGATCAAGGATCCTATCAACTTTTTAAAAGTTTACCTGGCTATACGTGAGTGCCCTGCCTAGGCCCTCTTTTTACTTTGCTACGGTCAGTAGCAACTGTCAGTGCGGGTCATTAACACAGCAACAAGAGAGAGAGGAAAATATCGGTATAAAGCCAGCACACGTGCCAGGAGTCTGCATCTCGCTCTTTTAATTACTCCTTGCAAGCAGCCTCAATCTCAAGCAGACCGTGCCCCCTCCCCTGGGGGGCTGGGCAGCACTTTGCCCTGGGCTGCACTAGGCAGGCCTGCCCCGACCCAGCGCTGGGGAAGGAGAGTAAAGTGCCCAGCGCAGACAAGGCTTCGCCAAGTAGCAAGGGCCCCGGGCGGCTGCTGTTTGCTTCTATGGCAGCAGGGAGGAGTCAGGGGGCACCTGCCCCGTGCCGCCCTCGCTCCCAGGCGACTCCATTCTACCCCCGCTCCTCAGTGAGCTGCCTGGGGCGGTTCCTTTGCCCAATGCCTGGACCCCTACAGTTACTTGGTTCGGTCCGGTCCCCGCCCCCCCATTCTCTCCCACCACGTCAGCCCCCGCCCTACTCCCAGCCGACTGGCTCGGCCCAGTCGGTCACCTCCAAGGAGTGGCTGACGCGGCTCTGCCTACACCCACATATACCCCGGGGTGGCCGGTTCCGTCCCATCTGCCGCTGCCACCACCCCTCCGGAGCCGGGCGGTTTAGTCCCGTCCGCTCCCACAGCCCCCAAGATGGGTCGATTCGGTCCCGCCTGCCTAGCCCCCAAGCGGCGGAGGCAGCTGGGGTGGGGGGAGTACTCTACACACACCTGAGGAAGGCGAGACCGAGTCCGTTCGCCTCAGGCCGCCATTTTATGATGACAGCACACGCACCGCTTGTCCGCTTCCGGACTATCACTTCCGGTCTCAGCCTTGGAGGTCTCTGCCTCCATCCACATTGGAGCCAACCAGGCTCCACGTTACGTAGCGAACAGGACCTGCCTCCCACAGTGGCACAGCGTCCTCCTCCGGTCTCGGTCTTGTGGGGCTGCGGGGGGGTGGAAGAGAGGTGGTGGGCAGGGCGTGGACAACAATTCCCATCGTGCACCGCGGCACCGCAAGTGGGAGCCCCGATTAAGCGTGGAGCAGTGCATCGTGGGAGATGTAGTCCCGGCAAGGCTGCCCCTCTACTCAGTGGGGGTGACGGGTCATGTGGCTGCCAGAAATGGGGCTCCAACGCCGAGATCTGGCAGCTCGTGTTACAAAGTCTGGGTAGCTCCTTCCCATGAGTCCCACGTGTGATTTACAGAGGAGCAGGGGCACAAGCTGCGGATGACCTTGACTAAGTGGGATAGTTTACCAGTTACACGATGCAGCCATACTAGTATAACCCCCGCAGGGGTACTCTTATTTTGCTGACCGAGTGGCTTTTCAGGTTAGCTTAAACTTCTTCCCAAGAAACACTGAAAAATTCACACCTTGCCTTAAACTGGTGCAGGAGCAGGGGCCTTCCTGTGTAGACATGGCCTCTTAAATCAAGGAGCCAACCTTGAATTTAAGACCCAGATCTCAAGCCATGGTTCAGCGAGTCTGGTTCCAGATGGTTGGCTTAACCCTTTCTCTAGCAAAAACATACAGAACTTTTTAAACATAGTTTCAGGATGTAGATTCCAGTGTGAAATATGTCCTCTGAGACACACAGTCACATGCATACATATATTCAAACAAGAACACACAGACATGCATAGAGAAACATGCACATAGAAGCATGTGCACACACACTCACAGATAACTATTATGGTTTGATAGTAAAATCTGATTAGTTAGATTAGTTAGTTAGATCTTCTCAGATGATTGTGCAGCCTTCTTGGTTTCCTTTGCCTCATCTAGAAAGGGAAATTGTAGGTCTTTATTTCTGACTTTATGCTACCTCTCAGCTATCTTATCTGTAAATGATGGGAATGCGGTTGCTTCTCTCCACACTGGGGATATGAGGCCATGGTCAATAATTAAGGTTGTGAAGTGCACAGAAATATTAAATGCAGTTAGTTTATGAAGAGACGAGCTCCTGGGTGTCAACCAGGTGCCCGTTCCCCTAAAGAGTACTTTATCAGAGAGATGTGCACTTGTGCTCTCATATCTCTACCTCTTTCATCTCTACCTGAGAGAGGTGGCCAGGAATATAGACCAGCCTGTACAGTTGTGAATAACTTCCTGTTGACTAGGAGCTTGATCTTGGTACAGACACATTGCATTTAATTGGGGGTATTCAAGTGATACGTTTCATGTGGATTCTTAACTCCTTCCCCGCCCCCTTCTCCACTCACGTTTCCATATGTCTGCACAAAAATCATTATAGTTATGACTTATTTAAAAAAAAAACAGGTCACGGGAGGGAGGGAGGGGAAGAGCTGTATCTTGGAAACCTCTTGATCAAATGAGTTTAAATTTGCACCATAAACTAGACTGGTTGCTTAATTGGCTGGCACTATCATTTTCAAATGGATATGATGATGTATGTGGATTTTAGGGAGGCTGCGAAGTCCTGCTTTAAACAAAAACTACATTGCAACTGTCACGGTTACTGTGCTAAATGCACATCTGACTCCCCTCAGACTCATTGAGTGCACCCCCCCTTAGGTCTTGTGCCTCATGCCATCACCTTTCTTGGGATGGAATCATGGGATTTTTCCACTCTACTGTCAGGCCCTGGCTGCAGTTCCTGGTTATCGTGATTACCTCAAAAAGTCTGACTTATGATCAGCACTTGCAGTTTTCTTCCCTCTAGGAGCAATGACCATGGTAACCAGTGACAAGACAGCCTTCTTAAAGCAAAGTATTATTTAAGGATAAAGCATTTCAGATAAAACATTTATTAAAACTATAGATGCTATGCGTGTCTAGCTTAACAGGCATCTAACAATCTCCTCTATGGGGAACCTAGTAAGTCAAACTTCCTACAGACTCTTCTTCAGACCCTCTCTCTGTGTCACCTTGTTTCCCTAGGCAGCTGCTGGAACTGACCCCTTTCCTCTCACCTTTTAACTGTTTAGACCTGGTCTACATAGCAAGTTAGGGCAGTTTAACTAAATCAGTCAGGAGTATGAAAAATCCTATCTAAGTCCCCGTGTAGACGGGGGAAGAATTCTTCCATTGACCTATCTACTGCCTCTCAGGGAGGAGGATTACCTACACCAGGGGTAGGCAACTTATGGCACGTGTGCTGAAGGCAGCACGCGAGCTGATTTTCAGTGGCACTCACACTGCCCGGGTCCTGGCCACCGGTCTGGGGGGCTCTGCATTTTAATTTAATTTTAAATGAAGCTTCTTAAACATTTTAAAAATCTTATTTACTTTACCTACAACAATAGTTTAGTTATATATTATAGACTTATAGAAAGAGACCTTCTAAAAATGTTAAAATGTATTACTGGCACGCGAAACCTTAAATTAGAGTGAATAAATGAAGACTCGGCACACCACTTCTGAAAGGTTGCCGACCCTGCCTGACCTACACCAATGGGAGAACCACTCCCATCCGCATAAATAGTGTCTACACTAAAATGCTCAGTGGCACTACTGTAGCTTTTAACGTGTAGACAAGCCCTTTGTGTTCTTTTGATCTCTAGGCTCCCAACATGGAAAAACAACTGCGTCTTGTCAAACTGGAGTCTGGAATTACACCATTCTGTTGTAACTGCCTCCCCACTCTTCCCCCCACATGTTTGCTGGGAAATTATTTATCTGGATCCATTGTATTTCTTTCTGCTTGTTTTTCCCACAGCCCCTTATTAAGTTAGAATAATACATTCAAACAGGAAATTTGAATAACCCACCATAATTCTACAGTAACTTTATCTTACTGACTAGGTCACATACAGTGTTTATAAAATTACTACATCTCAGTATCTTTAGTTTATTACATAGTATTTTTAAGGCTGTCACAGCAACTATAACTAAAGTGCATCTGTGTCTCACCCATAAATAGGAAAAGACTTTCACAAATCCATTAAGGGAATCTTAATTGGTACAGTCTAGAGTTAATGCAGATAATTATATATTTAATTAAGCCAGTAGAATACTCTATTTTAAAGGTTCCATTTTACTAGGTGAACTAAATTAAATTCAGTTTTATTTGCTGTTAAAAATGTTGAGCTGCCTGGCATGTCTCTTCGGTTCTGTTGCTTTTGTTACCAATGTCTCTACATTTCATATATCAATAATATGAATGAAAGTGACACTATTACAATAGTTATTTATCAGCACTAATATTGCCTGTCAAAGGTTCAGACAGTGCATTTCAGGCTAATTGTCTGACAAAGATAGCAAGACATGTAAGCCCCCTATCTACCCTCTAAATATATGCACACAATTCTAAATTTCTTGTTGAAAATCTAACGGCCGAGTGTATTATCACAATAAATATGTTTTAACAATTGTTTCCATTATTATCATTGCAAAGTAACCTATTTGCTACATTAGTTTTATTATTGCTTACTCTGTTTTTATTTGTTGTTTACTGAGGACCATCAGTATGCTCATTGGCCTGCTAAACTCAGGGTTGTGAGTTCAATCCTTGAGGGGGCCATTTAGAGATCGGGGGCAAAAATCTGTGTGGGGTTGGACTAGATGACCTCCTGAGAGGTCCCTTCCAACCCTGATATTCTATTCTATTATCTGACTTTCAGAGGCTCAGAGAACCAAAAGAACTCAATGACTCCAACTAGAGTTGTTTAGGGGGTTGGACTAGATGACCTCCTGAGAGGTCCCTTCCAACCCTGATATTCTATGATACCTTCATAGCTCAATGTTTTGCACCATTTCCTTTACACATAGGAAAATATGGTCCCTGCCCAAAAGAGCATACATGCTAAGGCTCCAATCCTGCAAGCGTTTATGTACATGAGCAATTTTACTTGAACACAATGGGACTACTCTGAGGAATAAAGGTGTGTGTGTGTGTGTGTGTAAATGTTTGCATAGTCAGAACATGCATTAGACAAATAATACATTGAAACAAAGAATGTACCGGCTTTTTTTCTTTCTTTCTTTCTAGAATGAATGAATAAATGAACATTGAAAGGCTTTGCAAAAGAAGTGTTTCTTAAGGAATTATTTGAATAATTAATCAATATCGGAATAATAAAAATAACACATTAATAAAAATTAGTACTCTGTACTAATTTTTATTTTATGTTATCCATCGAGATCACAGGATGGTACAGAAGGAGTCAATTTTAATGTTAGACAAATTTCATTGTTAACAAAGAAAGACTAGCAAAATAATAAGCTGCTTAACATTATTCACTACTTTCAGGGCTTTGATATCGCCCTTAGGCTCTTCTCAAATATGAGGCATGATATCATTACAAAATACACATAACTGAAACCTAAAATGGTGCTTAAAACTTTTAATCAGCTGCAAATTGTGTATTTTTGCACTCATTTAAATTGCTATTTTAAAAAGAATCTTAAAAAAATATTAATTTGAAACAGATTCCACTAGTGTACATTCAAGTATTAATTATTAAAAAAAACAAAAAACAGACAGCTGCCTGGTCAATGCTATCAAGCATTTAACTTACTTTTTCGAAGAGCTCATCCTGGCAAAATGAAAGGATTAAAATGGTACCACTCAAAGAGATTTTAAACTGCCTCTTTTGGAAATGTACACTTTTGTAGTTCAATGTATTTAAAAGAAGTTTTAAAACACAAATTTACAACAAGGTGTATTGACAAACAAAACTGTTTCCGCCCGGTTTCGAACCGGGGACCTTTCGCGTGTTAGGCGAACGTGATAACCACTACACTACGGAAACTTGCCTGATCAATAGTTTTGAAACTGTCTCTTTTATTAATGTGCTGGAGGACCCTGCGTGTTCTAATAAGAGTTGCAATTTGGGAGATCTTTATTTACGTTAGCGCCTGAAACTGGCACATTTACTGAAGAAGCAACCCCTGCCTAGATTCACGGGGAGGACATGTGCATATGACCAGGTCTCCAGGCCCTCAGTGGAGCTCCTAACACAAATATGGGTCAGACTGACGCAAAAATTGCCTGAAACACCACAGTGAAAACAGTTTGTGTGTGTGTGTGTGTGGGGGGGGGGTATGATCGCGCTCCCCGGGCCACCGCAACAGGGCTCCACTCCACTGCGCTTCCGGGGCATGCACGGCCCCCCTGTGACTGTGGATTGGCCCCTCTGGCCCAAGCACTGTACCCCCCATCCATCAGGCATGGCACCCTAGCGCCCAGCAGGGGCAGCGCCCGGCCTCTCATGAGGATTGCAACGGATCACTGCATGTGTACGGTATGTATTCCATTCCCTCTCCCCCGCGAGTACGCATTGCCCCTGGGGAGTGTGTAGGATAACCGCGGGTCCCCTCCCTAAACGGGCCTGCAGCCTGCGCCCATCCGCAGCGTGCCCCACACCTCCCTACGCAGAACTGCATAGGAACCACTACAACGTTCACATCTCCACAGCAGTCTCCTCTTTTTGACACCTACCCAGCCACAAGCGTCAACCTGCTCTCTCCGGTGCTTGGTGCAAAGACCAGGGGCAGGGCTCAACAAGGGCATAATGTTCCTTCCTGGGCATGTCAAAGGCTACCTAATTAATTGAAACAGATTCCTAGTGCGGGTGGGAGGAGTTTTAATTTCGTGATCAACATGGTGTTCTTTAGTAGTTAAGCATGATACACATAGTTTGACTTTCTTTTGAGTCACACACATGCTTCCCCCCCACCTTTGGCATACCACCATTTATGTTTAATTTTTCGTTTTAAGATTGGATGGTTGGTGGAAGATATTCCTTCAACAACCAGAGTATATTAAAATTACTATCTGAATTCTAATAAAATATTATTCCTGTAGATTAAGTGACACAATATTCTTTTAGTACTGTAGTATTAAAGGGAGCTCAGTTTTGGACTAAAATTTAAATGTTAAAATAACTTTTTACAAAACCAAAAATCAGTCAAATATTGCTGTTAATTTTAAAAACAAGAACAGTAAAAGCAGGGGAGGGGAGGGGTTAAATCAGAAAGCAAACAGTCCCCCGGGTGATGTTTGTGTCTAAACAATGCAGCATTGTGTTAGTAAATAGTGGAAGTTATGGCTCTGATCCTGCAATTGGATGCACATGGCTGGGCCCCAATAGCCACCTACATAGACCCAGTTACAAAATCCTGGCCTTAATTTGTAGGTCCAAGAAAAAAATAACATTATAGCAATATTATAGCAACAAGAGGGCAAAATTTCTCATATAAAAAGCTGAAAAGAGCTATAAGAAGAAAAATAAATAGGTTGTATTTATATTAGCAATAACATATACCGTCAGTGTCTTTAATCCCAAAGAATAACAAATCCCTTTACAAATTTAACAAATTGATATGCAAACTATATATAGGAATCACTTAATTCACCTCAGAAATGCAATCATCTTTGGGATGAAATTCATCCACTGTTTAACAATACCACTCAGTTTAGAGGAAGTAAAGAAGACTGGCCAGTTAAAACTATATTGGGAACCTAGACTGCAAAATGCAATTGCCTCGGTTGGAATTTGTCTTGGACACAATGGTTAACATCTTGACTCTTACAAAAAGTGTCTTAGACTCTTTAATTACCTCAAATCATCAAGACCTCATATCCCATATATTAAATTAAGGTGCTAGGACCTGCCTTAGGCAAAAGCAAAATAGGCATCTACTGAGACTTGTGTATTGGGAACCTAGAGAACTAATTCAGTACTCTGTGGATCTGTCCAGCCACCCTTTCAAGCAACAGAATAAGGAGAGATTCCCCGCCACTGTCCAGAGCAAAGTTTGGGTCTGCCCACATGCTGAGGGCAGGTTTGCCAGTTTCAAGGTGCTGCCTGCCCTAGAGGCATGTTAGAAGATTTCATTACTGACTCAGAGGGAAAAGTCCTACCACCAGAATCAACACCATCAATTCCCAGGGGGCAACTTTCAGATCCTGGGCCTCCCTAGCAGATTATTCTAATTATTTTTTAAGTATATTAATAAAATTTAAAAATAAAAACCCTACCCCAATCAAATATTTTACCTTAAAAAGGAAGGAGCCCCAGGCATGTTGTTATTGCTATTAGTTTTCATGTGGAATGCAATGAGGCACTCAGCTACTACAGTGACAGGTCGCAAGTTAAATCATGGGGCTCTAAGCCAGCTCCTCCAAGGGTATGTCTACACTACGGGATTAATCCGAATTTAGATAATTCGAATTTGGGAAACAGGTTGTATAAATTCGATTGTGCGCGGCCACACTAAGCATATTAATTCGGTTTTTAACCACATTAATTCGGTGGTGTGCGGCCACACTACCCCATTTATTTTAACCACATTAATTCGGTGGTGTGCGGCCACACTAACCCTAATTCGAATTAACAAAATCGATTTTGGCGCTACTCCGCTCGTCGAGGTGGAGTACAGAAATCGATTTAAAGCGCCCTTTAATTCGAACTAAATGGCTCTGTTGTGTGGACGGGTGAAGGGTTAATTCGAATTAACTCTGCTAAATCCGAATTAATCCCGTAGTGTAGACCAGGCCCAACAGTCAGGGAGTTTCCCATGCAGGTAGTGAACAGGCTGGACTTTTCTTAGGCCTGGTCTACACTAACCCCCCAATTCGAACTAAGGTACGCAACTTCAGCTACGTGAATAACGTAGCTGAAGTCGACGTACCTTAGTTCAAACTTACCGCGGTCCACACGCGGCAGGCAGGCTCCCCCGTCGACTCCCCGTACTCCTCTCGCCGAGCAGGATTACCGGAGTCGACGGCGAGCACTTCTGGGTTCGATTTATCGCGTCCAGACAAGACGCGATAAATCGATCCCAGAAGATTAATTGCTTGCCGCCGAACCAGCGGGTAAGTGTAGACATACCCTTAGCTTGATAAGGGCTGAGGGGGTGTCTTAGCAACAAGGGCACTACTCCTGTGTGTGCCTTTGTCACAATAGGAGGGGATTATCACATGAAGGGGAAGTTGCTGGCCCCCACCACTCCCCAGTGGCCTGAGTGGGAAGTGGCAGGTGGAAAGCCACCTCCTAAAATGGGGGATCTGTTACCGGCTGTGATTATAGACAATGGCTCAGGTCTGATCAAGGCAGGCATGGCTGGGGACAGGGAACCACGTTTCATCTACAGCAACATAACAGGCCGGCCTAAAGCCAAGTCCGTGATGCTGGGGGCAGGCCAGAAGAACCTCTACATTGGGAATGAGGCACAGGCCAAGCGGGGGATCCTCTCCATCAGGTATCAGAGAGTGGTGGGAGCTAGGCCTGGGGAAATGAGGAGAGCAGGCCAAGGAGCGGGTCCTCTCCACCTGGTCTAAAGAGTGGGACATGGAAAGTGGGTAGGGAGCAGGTCAAGTGTGGGGGGGTCCTCTTTGTTGGGTACCAGGTAGGAAAGGAGATGATGGGGGCCCTGCCCAAGGTGGAGAGGTGGGTTGGTTTAGTGAAGAATGTGTCCATCAGGTACTGAGGAGGGAGGAGGAGCCATCTCTGCTCACAGAGGAGAAGCATGCCAAGCAGGGTTGGGGAGGCCCTGCCATCAGGTACCATTAGCCTTGTGGGAGGGAAGGTTGTGAAGCAGCAGTTAAGTGGATGCAGGGTGAGCTGGGACAGGAAAGCTGGCATCTGATCAAGGAGGGAGCATTGCCTCAGACAGCAGTCTCCTTTGCAGGCCTCTCCTCATGGAGAGAGTTTGGTACAGGACGGAGGAGGAGTTTTCTTCTGTGCCAGTCACTTAAATGTTTGATCATGGAAGGGGCTGCAGAAGGAAATTGTCAAGGAATCTGCAGGGCCTTTTCCAAATGAAAGGCTGTTGCTATTGGCTTTTGCTTTGCACAGACTAATACAGGTATCCCAAAGGTAAACCCGAGTCAAGGTCAAACAAGGTCAAAAAATGGGAGGGAGAGCAAAACAAGGAAGAAAGAGTAGAGCCTAACAGAGGAGGCTGGAAGTGTGGAAAAGAAGGGAAGGGGGCCACAGAAACAAAGAGAGAGAGGGTAGAGACAGAGAAAGATGCATCTCAAATTCTGTGCAGTTCGACTGCAGCAGCTTTATGCACTTTTGCAGCCATTGTGAAGGTTTCCAAAAGGCATGGGGAAGTATGCAAAACAATCTCTTCTGATATGTAGCTACATTAGTGCATTTGGGTATGAAAGCGACATTGCAAACACCTATTATGCTTGAAACACACCTCATGTCCACACACAAAAGCAGTTGCAGGAGTGCACTGCTGCGCAGTTGTACTTCCCGAGCACCATTGTATCCTGCATCACCCTGCCCTATTGCACTGATAATGTAGACAGAAAATGCTGTAATTGCAGCTGCACCTTTTCATAGGCCTAGACTGCAGCTATACACAATAATACGCTACTGCTCTTGTAATCTCTTTAGCAGTTGCAATGAACAGTGTTTCTTGTATTTCAAACTATATTCCTGTGATAAATTACTGACCTTCTATTATTTTTACACATTAGAGTTTTCTGTTTAATAAGGTGCGATGCATGCAATTTTCAGGGTTTTCTTGTTTAAAAAAATAGAGAAGCTTCCATAGAGCATGTGCTACTTTGTATATTGAAATACACTGACTTATACAGTTCTAGTTTTCTTTTAAATGGTATAGCACTTCTCCAGTTATGGATAACTCCTACAAAACACTGCTTTAGGGGCCTGTGCTGGAAACATTGCACCCATTTTACAGTAGAAGTACAATGACTGGACGGAGTGGTGTGACATGCTGAACAGTTTTATATTAGCCAAGATGGCTAGTTTGTGGACACTGCACCATTACAATTTACAGCAGTTCCACAGTTTTCTCTGATGTAGATAAAGCTATTGATTGACCATGCACCTACAAATAGGTGGGAAGGTTGTGTAGGGAGCAGTAGCAGGGAGAGGAATGAGAGGAGGGAATAGGAAAAGCTCTGGGTTAGGAGAAGAAGAATTCAAGGGATCTGGTGGAGAAAAGGAAGCACTAAAAGAAGAACAAGAAAAATTGGAGAGAATGAAAAGAAAGAATAGACTGGAAAATTGGACACAATGAAGAGTAAAAAAGGAGACAGAAAAAGGAAAGAAAATACATAGATCTCTCAGGGCTTGTCTAGACTAGCTTAACAATTAGTTCAAATTAGCAAATGTGAGTGTAAAGTGCTAAACTAAATACTCCACAGACATTTTTTTCTGGATACAAATGTTTACACTTTACTTTAGGACTTAACCACGAACAACCAATTCCCTCAAATGAAAACAGTACTACAAACTCTAGTCTAGACAAACCCACAACCTCGGCAGGATTGGAATTTAAAGACAAAGGTTACTAGCACTTTAGTTTTTGGTTTTTGTAGCACTTTATGACTGCAAGGAAAATCTGAATGTGAAGACTGGGCTCTCTTTGGTGTGACCTATGCAGAAACTTGCGCTGATATAATTAAACTAGTTTTAATTAATACCTTTTGTTATTTCCATGCAATTCACACACACACACACACACACACACACACTTTACATGGAATAACAAAAGATATGAATTAAAACCTTACATTGATGGAGACTGAGTCTACACTACAGGGTTATGCTTCTATAGTCTCGGAAATGACTACACAAGATGCAGGCCAATAGAGAATCTGGTCTTCAGTTTCTGCCTACCACTGCTAATGCTAGTTCAGCTCCACTGGTATTAGCAATGTTGGGAGAACTTGAACTACCATAGACCACTGCCACCAGTGGTGTTTTAAACACCTAGTTATCTAGCCCTGTCCAGATCAGAATTAATCGACATGGTGCTTAAAACACTGCCAGCACCCAGTGTATGCTAAGGCTCGCAACGTTGATGGTAAATTTTTGCAAGATTTCTCTAGTGTAGACAAGGCTAATGTCTGGGACTTCCAAGAATCTTTAATCATCTTTCTCTACCCTGTACACTCTCTATAGTTGTTGAGTGCTATCAGAGAGTAAGGTAAATCTTCTAGCTACTAATCTACTGGATGAATTTTTGAGGGCTGGCAGAAGAAATACTCCCACAATAATGTTTAATAAACATACATTATCAACAGTGAAATTAATAAATTGTAAATGATTCATACTGAACTTTTCAGTAATATTTAAAAAAAAAAGTTTAGATACTTTTTAAAATGTAGGTCCTAATCCTGCAACATGCTACATCCCTTCTTAGATGTGCTGAGAGTTAAGGATGTTCAGCAGCTCCAGGAGGCAATCACCAACTTTCTTTAGCCCAGGCCATTATTAATTTTATTTTTCAAGGAAACACTTGTGACGTAGAGTTTTATATGCAATACACTTCATGAAATGATATACTTGGGAAACACCTGACAAGGTGAACCTGGTAGATGGTGAATGCTGCCTTTTTTTTTGTCGCTTGAACCCCGTGTAGGTATCCAGTGGAGCATGGGATTGTCACAGCTTGGGCGGACATGGAGGCTGTGTGGAAGAATGTCTATGAGCATGACCTGAAGATGAAGGCAAGTGAGCGGCCAGCACTGTTCACCGAGGCACCGCTCAACCCACTGGTCAATCGAGAACATATGACAAAGATTCTCTTTGAGCGCTTTGAGGTACCAGCCCTTTATGTGGCCATCCAGGCCGTACTGGCTCTCTATGCGTCAGGCCTTACCACGGGCTGTGTGATGGACTCTGGTGATGGCGTTACCCACACTGTACCTATCTTTGAGGGCTACTGCTTGTCCCATGCCGTTCTCCGGCTTGACCTGGCTGGCCGTGACCTTACAGACTACCTGATGAGAATCCTTAAAGAGAGCGGTATCTCCCTGGTCAGTACAGCTGAAAGGGAGATTGTACGAGACATGAAGGAGACCTTGTGTTATGTGTGTCTGTATCCAGAGGAGGAGTTGGCTAAGAAACCAAGTGAAGTAGAGAAATCCTACAGGCTGCCTGATGGGCAGGTTGTTAAAGTCCAGAATCAAAGGTTCCGCTGCCCTGAGACCCTTTTCTGCCCATCTAATATTGGCATGGAGGCCCCAGGGATTGACAAGCTCTGCTTTAACACCATCATGAAGTGTGACATTGACCTGAGGACCAATTTTTATGCCAACATAATCCTGTCTGGCGGTTCCAGCCTCTTCCCTGGCATGGCTGAGCGCATCACCAAAGAAATAATCCACATGGTCCCCAGTGACACTGAGGTGAAGGTCATGGCTCCCCCTGACAGGAAGCTCTCTGTTTGGATGGGGGGCTCCATCCTCGCCTCCCTCTCTGCCTTCCAGCAAATGTGGATTACCATGGCAGAGTACAGGGAAGTTGGGCCTAACATAGTGCATAGAAAATGCTTCTGAAATCCAGTTGTTTTTAAAAGGATCTTACTGAAAGTGTTGTGGGAAAGAAAAGAACCTCAAATTATAGTAACCCCAAAACGCTAGGAGGCCTACGCCAGTAGTATTTGTTTGGTGAAAGACTAATAAAAATCATAACTCTGGGTGTGCTTGTTCTAGAATATATCTTTATGAATATGTGTAAAATGTTTTGGATTTCTAGTGAGAGTTCTTTACGCAAGGACAAAACAGTGCAGGAAACAAGTGAAGTAGATGAAATTGACAATTTTACAACATGGCTTTTGAAATCTTATCCCATTATTACTGAATGTATGTGAAAGTGTAATATCCCCACACTTTCTAACAGACATTTCTGTTACTAAAATGTAATGTTGAGCAGGAAATAATTGAGGGACACAGGCCATTGCAATGTTATTATGTACATATTTGGTAGATTATTTTTCTAGTGACCTAGTTGGAAGGGAGATATTCACAGAACAGAAACTCCTTTCTTTTGAGTTATGAACACAAAATAAAGAGATCCACTTTGTTTTCCTTTGGGTAGAACTAAAGTCAGACTAAGGGCCTGCTTCATTACAGAAAATTCTCCCTAGAATAGGGTAGAGAACTCTGGCCATGTGGATTTGATGCCCATGTTGAAGAGACAATAGCCTCTCTGGCCATAGGGATGTGGTACCATTGGAGTGTGTGGGTTTTGTCGGGGAGAACAGAACAGGTTTCCTGGCCATGTGACTTTTGTGCCTATGGCACAGGTGAGGTAACAACATTACAAGCTGGCCACCTGATATACTGCTGCTAGAACTGGGATAGATTACAGAAAGAAAAGAGACTCTTAGGCCCCGTGGTTTGTTTGTGGGCGGAGTCAGGCATCTCCAATCTCCCGCTAGTGATTCCATTCCCCCTCCGTGCCCCGCAGAGCCAATGGGAATAGAGGGGACTCCCGCTAGCCAATCCATGCGCGGGGGCGGGACGGTGGAAGGTATATAAGACGCGCCGCAAGGCGGGCTCGAACGCTGCGGCGGCAGGGGGGGCTCAGTCTTTCTAACCCTAAGCGGAACGTGGCCCCTCCCCGCCGCAGCCGTCCGCTGTTTTACTCGCTGACTTTCAGCGGACGGGGGGAGCGGGCGGAGACACCAACCAAAAAACGTCAGCGAGGGGCCCTCCCCTCCCACGCCGACCTGGGCCGGTGGTGGGGCCCGCCAGAGAAGTCCCCGCCGCCCCGCCCTGGTGAGGCCGCGGTCAGCCGGTTCGCGCCACTGCTGCCGCGAAGAGTTCGTCTCTGTCAGCCTCGGGGGCGGCCGGGGTGGAAGGGCGGGTCCCGGGCGGGTCGGCCGGGAGAGCAAACGTGAGTGGCGGCCCCTGCGCAACCGCCCTCCCCTGAGCTGTGGGGCCCGCGGTCGGGGCTGCTCTCAGACACGCCGAGCCGGGGGCGGAGGAGGCGGGGCTGGCCAGTGCCGAGGATGGTCCGTCCCCAGCCGCCGCCGCCGTTTGGCTGCGATCCTAAGGGGGCCGCGCGGATCTGCGTCGGGCTCCGTCCGCCCTGGGGAGGCTGCCCCGCAGTGCGGCTGGGGCCCGCAGCCACTGAGTGGGTTCCTGAGCCTCCGGCTCTGTTACCCGCGGGGCCCTGCTCCGTGACCCCCCCCCCCCCCCCCGAACACTCGCGTCTGGGGGCCCTGCTCCGTGACCCTGTCCCACCAAATACACGTGCCCGGGACCCCCTGTGTGTCTCCCCCAAACATGCTGGGGGCCTTGCTCTCTAACCCCCTTAAACCTGCCTCTGGGGTCCTGCTCTGTGACCCCCCCACCTCTCCCAGGGTCCTGCTCTGGGACCCCCCCCAAACTAGGGTTACCATATTTGAACTTTCAAAAAAGAGGACCCTCCACGAGGGTGTGGGGGGTAGCACTGCCCCCCACAGGACCCCCAACCCATCTAACCCCCCTGCTCCTTGTCCCTGGATCACCCCCTCCTGAGACCCCTGCCCCTAACCGCCCCCGGGACCCCACCCCCATCTAAGCCTCCCTTCTTGTCCCTGACTGCCCCCTCCTGAGACCCCCCCCC